GGGAAACCGGCAGGCCGGACTCGAGTCCTGGAGATGGGAAGTACAGTGCCTGCACTCTGAAGGAGGGGTGTTAATGTTGCAGTTTAAAAACTGTAGTGTAAAGCACCATTCTGGCAAGACAGTGATGGAGTGAATGATGGTGAAAGTTTTTCTTTTTCGGGCCACCCTGCCTTGGTGGGAATCGGCCAGTGTGGTGATAAAAAAAAAAAAAAAAAAGAGAGAGATGTGGTAGCCAGACGACTTGCACAAGTTACGCCATATTAGAAATGATAATATTAATAATAATAATCACCGAGTCTCATTAAATGTCGTATATTACGTTAATATACACATTTTCATTAATCCATCCATGATATTTTTTTCAAAATTATATAATAAACACGATACATAACATATAAAGATGATAAATACACCCCACAATAGAATAAATAAACAAATATGAGATGTGGTAGCCAGGTAACTTGTACAAGTGACGGCAAGAATAACATTTTCTCTAATGTAACATAAGAGAAAATGTGTTACTAGGGGTAACTGTAGAAAATTATTCCTTTCGTATGTATGTAAGTTTATTCAGGTATACACAAATAGTTACATAGATTATCATACATAACAGCATATGTGTAGAAAACCTAGGATAACCCAAAAAAGTCAGTGACTTATTTCCATTGCCTTCACTCAGTGTCATTTCTTCTCAAAATGATGTTACATGAGAATGGGAGTGTTCTTCTTTATTCATTCTACCGTATCATGTAGAGACAACCTGTACACAATGTAACTTGTACACAAACCAGACGTGTACACTTTGTTGTTTACAAAACTTATGTTCACCTGGTTTGTTTACATAACTCTGCGCCTGTCCTCCCTCATGAACTCATTCTCTCTCTCATTTATTCGTTTTAACTCATTTACTTACTCCTGGCCCTACATTAAGACTACAAATATTTTAAGGTAAGTAATGAGTGAACTGTATATACATTTTATCACTCTGGGATGCTTAAATATCATAGAATAGTACGTGTGGGTGGGTTGGCCTGGTATGGTAGCCTGGCTGGCTACCATACATACCACACTTGATTTCTTACAATAAATACTACTTGTCTCACCCTAGATTAAGACTATAAACATTTTAAGGTAAGTAATGAGTGCACTATGTGTGTATTGTACTTTATTGTTTTTTGATGCCTAGTTCTATTGCTAACTTAATATGTTAGTATAAACCTGTTATCTAGTATTTGTATGCATTTATAAGTGGAAAAAAAAGGGTGTTCCACTTTACGGCAGTAGCCTGGAACCTAACCTGCCATATAAGTGGGGCCCTACTGTATTTGGATCACAAGCCCTTTATCAGTTTTATCATTCAACATGCATTAGTTTACAAAAAATATATTCATACTAAATACAAAGTGCTTACATGAAACAGATTACAGAAGTTACAGATACCTTAGTACACAAGTTCCTCAATGTCAGAGGTCACACCAGCCAAATACAGCCATAAGTAATCTAAAGTATTTGTGGAAGAACCATCATTTTAAAATCTGATAATTGAAGCTCGTGAATCGGTACATCTGACTGCATAGTATAACAAAATACACAATTTCCTTTCAACTTTACTGAAATAGCTCTTTATACTTCTTGAAAACATATTTATGAATACATTGTGTTGAAGGAATAAATTAAACAATTATAGTAATTTCCTTTATTGGCCATTCTACGTACACTAACTTTAACAATGAAGTGAGAGGAAGGATGGTCAGAATGGCAGTTTGTGGTGATGACTGTCAAAACTCAACAGCAACCATGATCGTATTCATGACATACTTTAGCTAATGCTGTATCTACGATATATCTAAAACTATATATAACTATTCAGTTAGTCAAAATATTGGGTTCATTAATGTATTACTTTAAATTATATAAACCTTAGTGAAGTTGATACATTAGCCCAAGTACAATATGTAGATATATTTAATTTCTAACATCTTATTGACGATCCTAATTTATAAATATTTACCGAAATAAAATGTTGCTGCTGTTATGTGACTTGACCATCATACCAGTTTTATGCCATGTGAAGTTATTATAAAGAAAAAGTAACATTTTTATGGTAGTAAAACCTGATTTTTGCACTTAAAGCCGAGTTATACCCAAAACTGACATCCCATAGATAATGATAATAATGCTTTATACATTAAATCACTAGGTAATAGTGACAATAAAACTTTCCATAAAAATCATACGAGCCACCTTAATTCTAACACTGGACACTACTAGTCCAAAGAAAATATTCATCCTATCTCTTCTCACATTAGCCTTTACAAGTCTACAAACCGTGGACAGTAATCATCAATAGAGTACTCTTGCAGTCAACTTTTTGGGCAGTAATTGAAGATTAACAACTCCTGACCCCTAAAAATGCAGGCTTTGTTAAACACCAATGACATGCAAAACAAAGAATGTAATTGCATTCAGCTACTGAAGCAAAAATTAAGGCTTGCTAAATTATATGAAATAGCAAAAAATGCCACAATCATTTAGTAAATAGTCAGGTATTTCTCCAAGTGCACATCCATTTATGTGGAAAAAGGTGTACCATGACAAATCTGTAAAAAACTGACAGTGGTAAGTGTACGATCAAATATTTTAACTTTTGCCAAAATAATGATAAGCTAACTCTAAATATTTATATCAAACAACATGGCTGCAATATGGCAGCAATTTATAACTGTTGCCAGATGCAGTTCCTTAATGTATACAAGTCACTCAAGCACATGATAACCACTAGAAAGAGAACATGTCCTTCATTAGTGGCACATTTGCTTTATTTTACATGGACAGTGAGCTTGATAATCACTATATACAACGTTCTGAGCAGCTATCACAAACACAACTGATGGAGGGAATGGTCCGTTAGTTTCAGTGCCAAGCTTGCCGGGGAAGGGGGTCTTGAGCTGTGATTTCTACAGTTAACCCATTTTTATAATTCATATAAATCTGAGAATAAAAGCATGTAGGATGAACCCCTTCTGTCTTAGAAAGGAAATAATTATACTCAAGCTGGAAAATTCACAAAATGCTTACTATACAGATTGCTATAGTTTAGTGTTGTATGAAATCTCCCAAAGTTTGCTACAATAAAAACATTAGATATTGGTCATATTCTGGATGAACTTAGTCTACCTGTGTACTTAACTCCCATGCTAAATTGAAACTGTAGGAAATCTCATCCCCACTTAAGAAATATTCATTAAAAATGCAGTCTTTAATGAAATTACTCACTAAATACTTCAATAAAGAATAATTTTCACAAAAATAATTAATAAAAATACAAGCTGATACACTTTAGCCATAGTTTGTAGTCCTGATTTCACAATATATAAATAGTACCAAAGTACAGTAGTCTCCAATAAAGGTTAAGTGATTCAGATTAAATTTCTTACTAGGTCTTTAAATGCCGCTGTTTTTAGTCAACTACAAGAATTAGTGAAAAGAATGCAGTCCTGTCACTCTGTGCATAAATTCCTATTTTTGCAAAGCAACAAGGCCTACAAATGGTTTTTATACTACAAGTACAATACCATAAAAAAAATTTCAGGCTTATAGTCAAACTGCATATAATATTTATGGTACAATCTGTTTAGTTACTACCTTTAACATTTTTATAGAAAAGACTGACCCCTTTTTGGCACAGCGACACCTGACTAGAAGCAACACCTGGGTTCTCAATATTATTGCCGTAAACAAATGCCTTAATGAACCTTTGTCACTGGTTCCTGATGCAGTACAAGACCAGTGATGACGAGTGTTGTACTCGCTTCAAAGACCACTTATTTTCCTACAACTACAGAAAAATAAGCTTTACCATTATACATATTAGGCTCTTTAATCAATAACCATACCTATCATCTCAAAAGACTGCCGTGACGACTTTTACATATACACACTAATAATATACAGTATGTATGTATAATGCAAATATTTTCGGTCTAACTAGAGATCCTCTTCAGGCAATACTAAACTAGTTGGAAGGAAGCCCTTATATATGCAAATCAGTCAGGTGTACACACAAAAAATGGAGCACTAAAGTACTCCTATTGCCAGTATAATAAGAGTTGAGGAGCACTGGCTGATGCTCGATGACTCCACCTGTCAAGTGTTCTCACACATCCACAACTCTATGGCCAAACAAGTACATTCTCACAGTTTTTATATTCAAATTAATCTAGCTTAAATTTCAGTCTCTAGATAGACTGAAAATGCTTGCACTATTTATATTGTTGAATGTGGGTTAATTTTTATATTTTCATGTGTGTGTGTGGTGTTGTGTTTATGTTAATAATATATATATATATATTATATATATAATTATATATATATATATATAATATATATATATCTAATATAAATATATTATATATAATATCTATATATATATATCTAATATATATATCTATCTATATAGTATATACTATATTATATATAATTCTAATATATATATCTATCTATATATATATATCTATATATATATATATCTAATATATATCTATTATATATATATATATATATATATATATATATATATAAATATATATATATTATATATATATATATATATATATATATATATATATTATATTTGGTTAAACACCTATTAACACAAATCTAGTATCATGGTACACACGGGTTCTTCAGTCATGTGTCATGGTGCAATTTAGTGGCTCTAGATCTATGTTAATAGTAGTTTTACACAAATACATTATAGAAGGAAGAAATTCATTCATAATTATTCAATATTCATAAATGAGGAGTGATAAAGATAAAAAATATAACAGTAATGTTGATCACATAATTCGAATCCCCATTTCAAAGGCTCTTCAATAGATCACATAAATTAATAACAATTTAATGTGATGACTTCAGAGCCTATTATGTTACTATGTGATTTTAGTGCAAATGTGAATATAAACTAGGAAAACAAAAATAAGAGGCTTGATATTGAGGTCTTTTTTTTTTTTTTTAATTTTATTTGGAAATATTTTAACATCAAATCCCATATTTGTCACATTTTATATTGTATTAATTCCTAGCAACCCAAACAATGTAGCTAAGGATAAAAACAATTTAGCAGTGTAAGTACAGACTATCACAAAGCATAATGAGCAACTAGGTGTAAAAGAATGCTGCTCAGTTTAAGCCCAAATGCTCACAACATAAAAGTAGCAGCTGTAAATTGGAAAAAAAATTAAATGCTTGCCAGGAATGCAAGCTTAGGTGTCCTAACCACTTACTAGTCAGCGCTAATACCCTACAATAAACCTCAACTTAGACCATGACAAGTCAGCGGTTAGAGAGACTTGTGAGCATTTATTAATATTGTATTTCTAAAAGCTGTATTACTGTAATATTAGCAAAAATTTTGGCCATTAAAACCAGAAACAAGGAGAAGAGGGCAATTTTCTTTTTACAAGTGGCCTTAATTCTCAAAATGTGTGTTAATTCTAAAGCACTTTCATTACACTTCACAATTTGTCTTTTCTTGCTTCATTCTTGGCAACTAAACAATTAGTGCACGTGTACAAGTGAGTTAATAACGCTGCTGGAACTCGTGATGCCAGCGATTGAAATCGATGTGAAAAACAACAATGGATCCTGTCGATAAACCAGCCATCAGGAATCTGAAATTATAGGTTTAATTTTTTTTTTTTAGCATGTCCATGTTCTTATAGCTTTCAAAGAAACAGAGAACTGAACAATATCTAGACTACCCTTTAGGACTGTGCACAGCAACAAATAACCATTAAACTGGTTGCAATGCATAATTTTTTTAAACTCAATGGCTGTCTCCCACTAAGGTAGGGTGACCTATAGAAGAAAACACTTACCAATGTTTACTTATTTACCATCTTTCCAGAGGTGGTGACATCACAATCATATTACCTTCTAACTGAAAATTGCCCACCCCTTTTTCAGAGTGCAGGAGGCACTGCCTTTCCTACCTCCAAGACTCGAGTCCAGCTAACTGGTTTTCCTGAATCCCTTCATAATGGTTACCATGTTTACACTCCAACAGTATGTCCATTAAAAACCATTTGTCTCCATGCAGTCCTGAAACAAACAAAAACAAAAACAAATACACACCACACACACACACACACACACACACACACACCTGCTAGATGCTCAAGCCCCTAAAACTAAGTCTCTTGAATCCCCTCCCTTCAAACATACACTTTTCTCCAATAGGGCATCTCCAATGCCTCCACCTTCCTAATCTCTGCAGCATTTAAAACCTATGCTGCTCACCCATATACATTCCATTTTTTGCTCTCCATAGATAAATTTCTTTCTTTCCACAATGTCTCAGTACACCATTTATTAAATAACTTTTTTTTTTAACACTACCATCCACCAAGGCAGGATGACCTGAAGACACACTTTCACCACCACTGTCTTGCCAAATGCATGCACATACTACAGTTCAAATGTTCCTCCTAACAGCAAATCTCTCTAACCCCTACTTTAAAGTGCAGGTACTGTAGTGGATGCATCCCAAACTACATTATCTCACAAATCTACGTATACTGACTTCATTGGAAATTTCATCTTGTATATTATGCTGTTGGATGACTTAGCATGTAATTAGCACTATCAGTCTACATAGTGCATTCTGAAGAATATTATAGTAATCTCCAAAAATATCACTTCAAGTGTAAGTTTTGGAGAGTAATATGTTCTTCAGAATGCACTATGTAGACTGACAGTGCTCCATTTTTAAAGGGGTAAATGGAGAAGCAGTCCTAGAGTCAAACATCATATTTACATTATTAGAGCTGTAGATACAGCCACACAAGTCACTTAAAAAAAAATTAAAAATAAAATTTATACAAAATACATGAAACTTACCTCTGGTCATGGGAGAGTGCAAGAGACCTAATAGCAGAATCACAGGTTGGGAAAGCATACAGCAAGGCAAGGGAAAATGTCCGCCATACTTCAACAATGCCTTTCTCTCCTCCAGTCATCATGTACTCTCCATCACGGCTCAGAATCACACACTATAAAGATAACTTTCCTTAGTTAATGTATCTGGATATAACTCGTTAAAAAACTTGTCATCTAAATGAAGTGAATTTTTAAGTCTAACAATCTAATAAAAATGAACAATATTCGCAGTTATATTTTATTTATTAGATTAGAATTAGGAAACGGGTCTCAGTACAAAATTAATGTAAGATAACAAGAGTGAGGAAATACTAATGGCTAAGTAGGTAATTATATTTCAAGTAATGTAAATAGCAGACATGACTGGCGATTAATGGTAATATAATGCTGCTGTTACCTGAGAATGCTATTACACTGTAACCAGTGCTGTAAATGAACAATACCTATTTTGAATTACTTCATGAATTTAAAACCTTAAAAAAAAATTTTTTATTATCACACTGGCCGATTCCCACCAAGGCAGGGTGGCCCGAAAAAGAAAAACTTTCACCATCATTCACTCCATCACTGTCTTGCCAGAAGGGTGCTTTACACTACAGTTTTTAAACTGCAACATTAACACCCCTCCTTCAGAGTGCAGGCACTGTACTTCCCATCTCCAGGACTCAAGTCCGGCCTGCCGGTTTCCCTGAACCCCTTCATAAATGTTACTTTGCTCACACTCCAACAGCACGTCAAGTATTAAAAACCATTTGCCTCCATTCACTCCTATCAAACACGCTCACGCATGCCTGCTGGAAGTCCAAGCCCCTCGCACACAAAACCTCCTTTACCCCCTCCCTCCAACCTTTCCTAGGCCGACCCCTACCCCGCCTTCCTTCCACTACAGTCCGATACACTCTTAAGTTATTCTGTTTCGCTCCATTCTCTCCACATGTTTGAACCACCTCAACAACCCTTCCTCAGCCCTCTGGACAACAGTTTTGGTAATCCCGCACCTCCTTCTAACTTCCAAACTACGAATTCTCTGCATTATATTCACACCACACATTGCTCTCAGACATGACATCTCCACTGCCTCCAGTCTTCTCCTCGCTGCAACATTCATCACCCATGCTTCACACCCATATAAGAGCGTTGGTAAAACTATACTCTCATACATTCCCCTCTTTGCCTCCAAGGACAAAGTTCTTTGTCTCCACAGACTCCTAAGTGCACCACTCACCCTTTTCCCCTCATCAATTCTGATTCACCTCATCTTTCATAGACCCATCCGCTGACACGTCCACTCCCAAATATCTGAATACATTCACCTCCTCCATACTCTCTCCCTCCAATCTGATATCCAATCTTTCATCACCTAATCTTTTTGTTATCCTCATAACCTTACTCTTTCCTGTATTCACTTTCAATTTTCTTCTTTTGCACACCCTACCAAATTCATCCACCAATCTCTGCAACTTCTCTTCAGAATCTCCCAAGAGCACAGTGTCATCAGCAAAGAGCAACTGTGACAACTCCCACTGAGGCAGAGTAACACTTAGAAATATATATGTTATGTATTAAGCACGATCAACATTCTGAACATATATTAAATTTAAAAGAGACAAATATGAACAAACATGTTTGCTGAAAAAAAAATGTACAGTTAATGAACAATTTTTTTTTTTTGTGCTCGCACGCAATGCAAGCTTCACTTTTAACACAAGAATACAATGTACAACCTTTACTTGAAGTGAGTGAATATAGCCGTAAAATTTTCACCTAATATCGCTAAACATTATTTTCAGTGTCATCTGTAACCCCACTGAAAAAGCTAAAAATTTTTTATACTTTTTCTACATATAGCTACAAAATTCTTATCAACAGTGTACAGCAATATTGAAAAAACAGAGCATAAGTACTACCCAAGTAAAATTATTGAGTCTCAACACATTTAATCTGCAAATTCTGTTTTTAATTACATTTTTACTATAAATGAATTTTTATTCTCTGGAAAGCTCTCATTCTATGAGGTGTTGGATTTAAATAAAATCCTTGCCCAACTACATTTTGAAGAAGTTGAAAAAGACTAAATATATCTATATTCTGAACTGGTTGTTCCAATCACATTTAGTAAAAACAAAGCAAAAACTGAGAATGTGTAAAAAGACTATCAAAACTAATAATTAAGCTGAGGGGAACGAGCTATGAAGAAAGAATAAGTGAGCTGAGACTTCTTCTTTCAACAAACCAGACGTATCCCATCGAGGCCAGGTGGCCCAAAAAGAAAAACAAGTTTCTCATCATAACTTTACTAATGTATATAGAAGAAGAGGTTACTAGCCCCTTGCTCTCAGCATTTTAGTCACCTCTTGCGACACGCATGGGTTATGGAGGAAGAATTCTGTTCCACTTCCCCATGGAGATGAGCTGAGACTTATCTCACAGAAATAAAGAACAAAAGGCAATATAATTACAACATAAAATACTGACAGGCATAGACAGAACAGATTAGAAAAACTTTACCAGAGATATAACAAGAACAAGGAGAGTACTGGAAATTACACACATAAATAAGCCTTAAAGATATTAAGGAGATATTTCTTCAATGTCCTAGGTAGTAGGTTGGTAGACAGCAACCGCCCAAGGAGGTACTACCGTCCTGCCAAGTGAGTGTAAAACGGAAGCCTATATTTGTTTTACACGATGGTAGGATTGCTGGTGTCTTTTTATTCTGTCTCATACACATGCAAGATTTCAGGTGCATCTTGCTACTTCTACTTACATTTAGGTCACACTACACATACATGTACAAGCATTTATATATGTACACACCCCTCTGGGTTTTCCTCTATTTTTTTCTAGTTCTTGTTTATTTCCTCTTACCTCCATGGGGAAGTGGAACAGAATTCTTCCTCCGTAAGCCATGCATGTTGTAAGAGGCGACTAAAATACCGGGAGCAAGGGGCTAGTAACCTCTTCTCCTGTATATATTACTAAGTGTAAAAGGAGAAACTTTCGTTTTTCCTCTTGGGCCACCCCGCCTCAGTGGGATACGGCTGGTGTGTTGAAAGAAAGACTTCAATGGAATAGTAGCAGAGAGGTGGAATAAGTTTAACAATAATACAGTGTAGGTGAACTCTATATTGTGTTCAATAACAGTTACAACAGGCTCAGTTATATCAGTTTGTCAAAAGTTAAGAGGCAGGACCAAGAGCTCTGGCTCACCCTCCCCTGCAACTCGAACAGATAAGTACAAGTCACATACGTTATACACCTTAGGTAAAAATACACTATATTAAGTTATCTATAGGTTAAAGAAATAAATGTAGCTGATCCTACTCAACCCCACAGCAATATCTTGTGAAGTACTAACCTGAATATTGTCATTGTGAGATTCATGTCGTAGCCTCTTTCCATTCATAGTATATGCAGCAACATGTCCTCGATCATAATTAATAACAATTAGGCCCTCACGAGAAAGAGCAACATTTTCAGGAGAAAGAAAACCTTCAGGTGCCTCCAGTGATCGCAGCAGATCCCCAGAAGTGGTGTGAATGAGTACTGGGCCATCTGAAAACATGAACTATTACCTACCCAAACACTTGGGATGGAAAAACATTACTTTAAAATTTCCCATGTATTACTGTATACAGTAGAATCAAGTATGAATGATTATACAGAAAAAAATGATGATGATGACAATGTTCTTCGTACTGTATTTATTACCCAGGAGGGTTAAAACTCAGGTGACTCAGTTGATGAGCAAGAGACCATAATTGTCAACTTGGTAAATACCAAATGGACACTAGGTGCTACAAGCACTAGACATTTGTACAACAGACTAGCTCTCCTTATTTAACCACAAACATATTATTCAAAAATATGTAATTGCAGTAGTAACAGATTCTAAATATAAAGTTTCCTCCTAAGTGTGGGTTATTCATAAAGTGTCCCTGCCATGATATTTTGACTTTTATTTTTCATTAGTCATTATTTTTCCTTTACCTTAACAGCAGTCTCCTGCCAAGGAAGGAGATAGCCACTGAATGAATTCACATCATTCATTCAACTGCTTCTTTCCAGAAGTATGCTGATATCACAATTCAGATTACCCTGCAATTGAAATATTTCTATCTTTCCTTCAAAGTGTAGGCTCTACCCTTTCCACCTCCAATACTCAAATCTGGCTAACTATTCCCTAGTTTCATAAATGATACCTTGTGCACACTCCAGCAGCACATCACAAAAAACTACTTGCATCCACTGATTCCTATCTAAAGCGCTCACATTAGCCTGCTGGACATCTAAGCCCCTAGGATTCAAAACCTCCATTACTCCCACCTTCCTACTTTTCTTGGGACAACCCCTACCTTTCCTTCCCTCCACCCCAGATTTATACAACACATCATGCAATTGTGCTCCATTCTCTCTAAATGTCTAAACCATCTCAATAACCCCTTCTCAGCTCTCTGAATAATAATTTTTGTAACCCCCTCACCTGGATTTAGAAAAGGCATTTGATAGAATGGACAGGGAAACAACGTGGAAAATGTCGCAAATATATGGAATAGGTGGTAGATTATTAAAAGCAGTAGTGAGTTTTTACACGGATAGTGAGCCTCAGGTGGAGTATGGATGAGGGGATTATTTTCCATCTAAAGTAGACCTCAGACAGGGATGTGTGATGTAAAGGAAGTGAATGCTAGAAAGTTCATTCAAAGTGGGAGTTGGGACAGTTACTTTTCACTGATGGGAGATTCTCAAGAAAAGTTGTAAAGGTTAGTGGAATAATTTTGGAGGGTATATAAAAGATGGAAATTAGAAGTGGACATAGGAAAGAGGAAGGTCACAAGAATACCAAAGAATCTAGAAATTGAAAGAATGGATATCAGATTATGAGGAGGGAGTATAGAGGAATTCAATGTGTTCATATATTTGGGAGTGTACTTCTTGCAAGATGGATCTATGAAAGATGACATGAATCATAGAACTGATGAGAGAAAAAAGCTGGGTGGTACATTGAGGCATCTGTGGAGACAAAGAACTTTAACTCTGGAAGCAAAAAGGGGAATGCACCAGAGCAGTTTTAACACTGTTACATGGGTTTGAAGCACAAGTTTAAATGCTGCAGCAAAGAGGAGGCTGAAGGTTGTGAAGATGTCATGTTCAAAGGCAATGAGTATTATGAACATTATGCAGAAAATTCTGAGCTAATTACTTTCATAAAGGTAAAAATTGTTATTATACTGAGTATTTAGTCTAAAACCTTACTCTTACCCTTAGAGCCAGACACTACAAGGCCAAGTTCAGCAGAAATGACAACAGCTGTGACCTCAGTTTCGTGACCTGTGAGCGTGGCACGTGGGGTTGGTGAATCTCCTTCACCCATTATCATCTGCATGTGAAAAAAATCAAGTCACTTACAGAAACAAATAGTTTAAAATGCTCTACAAAAGGATAAGAAAATTACATGTATTCATATAGCTAAAGTTAAAAAGCTATAGGACAATAACAGTTAAACACTATTGTGATAGAGAAGAAAAACTGCTGACAAACTAATTATCACACCAGTGTTGTTATTCATTCTAATTTTACATTTGTTAAAAGTATGAAAAAGTTTTAAAAACTAATATGCAGTATTTCTGTGATGAAAAAAACTTGGCAATTATTTAAGAAAGAATATACCATAAGTCCCAAATAATTACTGGTATTATAACTAAATAAAATTTTTGTAGATGTGCACGTGGCAAATAATGGCCTAGAAACACAAAGCAATATTATATTAACCCTTTTGGGGTTTCGGCCGTACTAGTACGGCTTATGCGCCAGGGTTTTTGACATACTAGTATGCATAAATTCTAACACCCTCAAATCTAGCAAGAATAAGCTGGTAGGCCTACATATGAAAGAATGGGTCTATGTGGTCAGTGTGCGCAGTAAAAAAAGAAATCCTGCAGCACACAGTGCATAATGAGAAAAAAACTGGTTGTATTCTAGTTTTCCTGGTCGTATTTTATAGAATGGAAGACATATTACAGAAATTGAGATGATTTTGATTGGTTTCACAATGAAAAATACCTTGAAATTGAGCTCAAAGTAGCAGAAATGTTCGATTTTTGCCAAAGTTCAAAAGTAAACAAATCATGCCACGCGTCCAATACACGTCAACTGGTGAATCTAATATTCTTTCACAAGTGCGCTGGTATTATTTATACCATTTCTATACTAATACAGTAGTCTGCATAACAGTAAATCTTCTATTTTTTGTGAGAATAAAAATTCAAAGTGGAAAGCAAAACAAATATAAGGGGGGCATGGGGATGTGACTAATGAACAGAGGAAATGTTATTTTAGTGCCAGGGATGTCTTTCTTGTTTATTCTGGACCCTATTTGGAAATTGGCATTTTTTGAAATTTGTGTGAAATTGGCAAAATTGCTAAATTCTGACCACTTTATTGGATAGTTGAAATTGGTAAATGGGTGGTTTCTTGTACTCATTCGATAGAAAAAACAGGTCTAGCGAAATAGTTATGATTTTTGTCGACTAGTACACTGGAATTGGCCGAAAATAGGACTCAAAGTGGACAAAATCGCCGATGCGTAAACATCGTCGAGACCGCTAACTTCGCGAGAGCATAATTCTGTAAGTTTTCCATCAAATTTCATACTTTTGGTGTCATTATGATTGGCAAAAGATTCTCTATCTTTTCATAAGAAAAAATAATTTTTTTTTTTTTTTTTAAATTTTGGCTACCCTGAGAAGGCCTGGCGAGCCTCAAGGGTTAAGGAAACTGTATAAATGACAAACATTATTCTTATACAAATTATGAGCAAATATTTGTTAATAATTCTTGAAATATGTTTTTAGAGAAAATTTATTTACTTTTTATCATCACTATAAAGGCCTGGAATGATGTGCCATCATTCCAGGCCTTTATAGTGATGATCAGTTAATCATAGCTATTATGGTAACCTATCCAAGGTTACCATAACAGCTATGATTAACTGATATACAGGTACTTCAACCTGTTATCTTACAGCAAACATTGATTTCTTGCATATTATTTAGATCAAATGACTCAAGAGTGTCACCTCTTAAGTAAAATTTAATCAATTATAACATGATCATTCAAAAACAAACAATAGTAGTAACAAAAACAATCAGAAGTACTGTATAAACTGAAAATGGACATCCACTGAACACACTGTTAAGTCTACCGTTAAATATTTGTATTTTCATTCAAGTGTGAGTGTCACACCTGACGTTCTTACCACTGATTGACACCGATACGAGGATGGGCCACATATTTAGGGGCAGTTGGTTTTTTTCCTCTCACTTGCCAACTGACAATCTTTTTTTTTTTTTAATCTGGAATCAGCATGATGGTGGTAGAGCACAGTGTACAGGTGCTCCTCAGCTTACAATGGGGTTATGTTCCGAAGAACTCCTCACAAGTCAAAAATATTCCAAGTCAAACATAAATACATAATAAATAACTACTGTCACTGAATAAGTAAATAAAAAAAATAATTACTGTAACTAAATATCAGAAGCAGGAGAAACACTTGGGTGTTTCGTAGACATAATTTGATTAAATACAGAAAAATGTTTGATGACTACTGAATGTGCACTGCTATCACACCACCATAAAGCCAAAATATTTTAAGTTGAACCATCATAAAGAGAGGGGCACCTATACAGGTAAGTGGCATATGAATAAATAAGCAACTACTGAACCAGTAAATTATGTAATTTACAAACTTTGGCATGCTTTTATTTAAATGCCCTTAAAATGATTATACCATAACATTTAACTTTATATGAATAATAAGGAATGTACGTATGTCCACCATACACTGAATTATTTAACAATGTTATCTTACTAAATGATGTGCACATGAATACCTGAGTGCGGGCATTCCAATGCCAGAGAAGAACAGTGCAATCGTGGGAACCGGAGGCAACATAACAGTCACTGGTGATGTTGCACTCACTACGGCTTAGGCACGTCACCACCCCATAATGACCAAACACTATTTGCACAATTTTAGCTGTTGAGTAAAATAGTAAACAAGTTTGAAAATGTACCAAAAAACTATGCCTACACAGTCTTAACTGAATTTTTTACTCTATACTAGTCCCTCACTATTTCTTACTTTTAAAGGGATCTTATCAGTCAGCCACTAGAATCTTATCCAACTCCAGCCTTTAGCAACACACTACTCTCACTGAAGTCATCACAGCTAGTTAATGAACAAGAACTAAAATTCTCTTTTGTGTACAGTGTATCTTCAAAATACTACTGAATTCACATTGTATACTGCCTACAATAATGAAAAAGAGAAGGGGTGCAGAACAAGTGTTTAGTGGGACAACAGACTGATCTGTGTAGAAAAACACTGTTATGCAATCCATTTTTTCTTCAAAACCCAATATGGTGTGTATTTGAATTTGCTACATTTATTGTATTATTATGCTTTACACTTCTTATTCAATGTACACATCAATGTAAATTTAATATTACAATTCAAACCTGTCAAAATGTTTTATGTACACTGCTGCACAGTTTTGGTCACCGTATTACAGAATGGATATAAATGATCTGGAAAATGTAGAAAGGAGGATGACAAAGCTGATCCCATGTATCAGAAATCATCCCTATGAGGATAGGCTGAAGGCCATGAAACTGCACTCTCTAGAAAGGTGTAGAATTAGGAGGGATATAATTTTTTTTTTTTTTAACAAGTCGGCCGTCTCTCACTGAGGCAGGGTGACCCAAAAAGAAAGAAAATCCCCAAAAAGAAAATACTTTCATCATCATTCAACACTCACCTCATTCACACATAATCACTGTTTTTGCAGAGGAGCTCAGAACAAAACAGTTTAGAAGCATATATGTATAAAGATACACAACATATCCCTCCAAACTGCTAATATCCCAAACCCCTCCTTTAGAGTGCAGGCATTGTACTTCCCATTTCCAGGACTCAAGTCCAGCTATATATTCAGGGTTTCCCTGAATCCCTTCACTAAATATTACCCTGCTCACACTCCAACAGATCGTTAGGTCCCAAATACCATTCGTCTCCATTCACTTCTATCGAACACGCTCAAGCACGCCTGCTGGAAGTTCAAGCCCCTCGCCCACAAAACCTCCCTTACCTCTTCCTTCCAATCTTTTCGAGGACGACCCCTACCCTTCCTTCCTTCCCCTACAGATTTATATGCTCTCCATGTCATTCTACTTTGATCCATTCTCTCTAAATGACCAAACCACCTCAACAACCCTTCTGACTAATACTTTTATTAACTCCACACCTTCTCCTAATTTCCACACTCCGAATTTTCTGCGTAATATTTACACCACACATTGCCCTTAGACAGGACATCTCCACTGCCTCCAACCACCTCCTTGCTGCTGCATTCACACCCATATAAGAGTGTTGGTACTACTATACTTTCATACATTCCCTTCTTTGCCTCCATAGATAACGTTTTTTGTCTCCACATATACCTCAACGCACTACTCACCTTTTTTCCCTCATCAATTCTACGATTAACCTCATCCTTCATAAATCCATCTGCCGACACGTCAACTCCCAAGTATCTGAAAACATTCACTTCTTCCATACTCCTCCTCCCCAATTTGATATCTAATTTTTCTTTAGCATTTAGTAGCTTACCACCTATTCCACATACTTGCAACATCTGCCACATTGCTCCTCTATCCACTATCATATGCCTTTTCTAAATCCATAAATGCAATAAAAACTTCCCTACCTTTATCTAAATATTGTTCACATATATGCTTCAATGTAAACACTTGATCTTCACATCCCCTACCCACTCTGAAACCTCCTTGCTCATCTGCAATCCTACATTCTGTCTTACCTCTAATTCTTTCAATTATAACCCTACCGTACACTTTTCCTGGTATACTCAGTAAACTTCTTCCTCTATAATTTTTACAATCTCTTTTGTCCCCCTTCCCTTTACATAAAGGGACTATACATGCTCTCTGCCAATCCCTAGGTACATTCCCCTCTTTCATACATTTATTAAACAAAAATACCGACCACTCCAACACTATATCCCCCCTGCTTTTAACATTTCTGTCATGATCCCGTCAGTTCCAGCTGCTTTACCCCCTTTCATTCTATGTAATGCCTCACGCACCTTCCCCACACTTACATCTTGCTCTTCTTCACTCCTAAAAGATGGTATACCTCCCTGGCCAGTGCATGGAATTACCGCTTCCCTTTCTTTGTTGACATTTAAAAGTCCCTCAAAATATTCTCGCCATCTACCCAAAACCTCCATCTCCCCATCTACTAACTCCCCTACTGTTTTTAACTGACAAATCCATTCGTTCTCTAGGCTTTCTTAACTCACTCCAAAATTTTTTCTTATTTTCATTAAAATTTCTTGACAGTGCCTCTCCCACTATCATCTGCCCTCCTTTTGCACTCTCTCACCACTCTTCACCTTTCTTTTACTCTCCATATACTCTAGTCTTCTTATAACACTTGTGCTTTATAAAAACCTCTCATAAGCTAACTTTTTCTCTTTTATCACACCCTTTACTTCATCATTTCACCAATCACTCCTCTTTCCTCCTGCACCCACCCTCCTATAACCACAAACTTCTGCCCCACATTCTAATACTGCATAAATGTAAAACAGGAATAAAGGGGATGTAAATAGCATGCAAAAAATATCTAGCCAAGACAGGATTTGCAGCAATGGTTTCAATTTGGAAAAATTCAGATTCAGGAAGGATATAGGAAAGCACTGGTTTGGTAACAGTTGTGGAAGAGTGGAACACTCCTGAGTACTGTCATAGTAGCTAAAATGTTGTGTAGTTTTAAAAATAGATAAGATAAATACACGAGTGGGTGTGGGTGGGTGCGAGTTGGACCTGACTAGCTTGTGCTACTAGGTCTGATGCCATACTCCTTCCTTAAGTGAATGTGACCTGACCTGACTAGGTTGGGTCATTGGCTTAAGCCGGTAGGAGACTTGGACCTGCCTCGCATGGGCCAGAAGGCCTGTAGCAGTGTTCCTTCTTTCTTATGTTCTTATGTATATTTAGGCAATATGTACATTAGTGCAGTACATGTGTAATAATACTAATTTTATTTAACCCTTTGAGGGTCGACAGGCCCTCTCCGAAACTCGTTCTCAGGGTCGGCCAAATTTAAAAAAAAAAAAAAATTATTTTTTCTTATGAAAAAATAGAGTTTTTTTTTCTAAACATTATAGGATAAACAAAAAAAATTTACCATCAATACTTACGGAGATATGGATGCATGAAGTTTGCAGAAAATGAGCCGCGTATGGCAACAGCGGCGACTGCCGCTCACCGGTAAACTTTAGTTTACTTGTATTTGAAGGTTTGTTGTTTTTTTCACTATTTTATTTTTTCACATAACTTATGTGGAATGTGAGACCAAAGTAAGGTGCAATGTACATATATACACTCGTTGTATACAACACAATTAGCACACAAACATAATTATCAATATATTGTTTACAAAACTTGTTTACAAAAACAAACAATACAAAAACATTGTTTATTATTATTGTTCTATAATATATATACCAATATACAGTCACTGAACATATTCCTATTAGTTCTGCAGCTTGTGGAACTATGAAACATGGTGTCATACACAATGGTGTTTTATCTTTCTCCCTCATTCTATCTCTTTCAATCTGTCTCTCTCTTTCTATCTGTCTATCTATCTCTGTTCACAGGTACACATAAATACAAGTATACTAGTTAAAATTACCTAGGAAAACCCCAAGAAATCCAGACAAAGTGCTATACTCTGCTTGAAGAGTGAGTAAAAATGATGACACAGTCTTGTGGCTCTCTGAGACGGGAGAGCTAGACGGATAGACAGATAGACAGGGAGCTTGACAGACAGACAATTAGCAGACAGAAAATTTTTAGTGTACCAGTACAGTGTACTATTTGTTCCACCCTCCTCCCTCTTCTTCCTCTTCCCCCTTTCTTCCCCCTACTCTTCCTCATACTCTTCCTCTTCCTCCCCCTTCCTCTTCCTCCTATCTTTCCTCTTCCTCCTCTCTTTTTCCTCCTCCTCCTTTCTTCCTCTTCCTCCTACTCTTCCTCCTCCTCCTTTCTTCCTCTTCTCCTTTTCCCCCCTACTCTTCCCTCATACTCTTCCTCTTCCCCCTTTTCCCTTTTCCCTTTCCTACTTTTCTCTTCCTCCCCCTCCTCTTCCCTTCTCCTCTTCTTCCTCTTCCTCCTACTCTTCCCCCTCCTCCTCCTCCTCCTTTTCCTCCTCCTCCTCTTTTTCCCTCCTCCTCCTCCTCCTCCCCCTCCTTTCTTCTTCCTCCTCCTCCTCCTCCTCCCTTCCTCCTCCTCTCTGCCCCCTCCTCCTCTTGCCCCCTCCCCCTCCTTGCCTCCTCCTCCTTTGCCTCCTCCTCCTCTGCCTCCTCCTCCTCCTCCTCCTCCTCCATTCTTGGAACAAGTTTGAAGATCTTGTAGTTCATAATCACTATCATTATCATCACCAATGCTCACATCTGAGTCTGGGATTTTGGGAAATAGGAGTTTCCTCTTTGATTCTGGTACAAACTGAACGACGGCCCAGCACCAGAGGTGGAAGCTGTGGGTTGTCTGGGTTTTCCTCATATTACCATATTTGGTCATTAGTTTTGGTCAAAACCCCACCAGAACCTTGAAACTCATCTTCACTGTCACTTCCATCTGTATTAGAAAATGTCACTGGGGAACAAAAGTGGGCCCAATTCGCGAGGAGTGAGGAACTTCTTTACACAGGGCACGGTGGAAATTGTGTACTATGATGGCATTCCCACAATGCACCACTGGGTCCCAGATTTTTTTCCTACTGCGCACACCCACCACACAAGACCCATTCTCTCACATCTAGGCTTATCAGCCTTTTCCTGTGAGATTTGAGGCCGCTGAATTTATGCGTACTAGTACGACAAAACCCTACGCGTAAGACGTACTAGTACGACGAAAACCCTCAAAGGGTTAAGAGGCAAGACTTAACATTATACTCTCAACATCTCAATATTTCTTGCACTTTATTTTTGGTTATGTGCACTTACCAAACAACTAAGTCATTTGAAAATAACGTAATTTAAATTTATAATAAAAAATTTTTGATTCCCTAAAAATCAAACCCCTTTAACATTATGACTCACATTTTGTTATAATACGTATACAGTGGTTTTGTTTATCGTTTTTAAAATCCTTCCCCGGAGGAGCTCTATTACGAATCTATGATTTCCAAATAAATTTTTCCCCCCAAAAAAATTAATGAAAATACAATAATGTTCCTGACCCCCAGAAGTATTAAAACAAAAAAAAATTTTTACTTGAAATATAGATGTAGAATAAACAATACAAGGGGAAATGATGAATGAAACTTTAACGCATAACTACCTTTTTTTGGGAGATTTTTCTTAGTGTTTTGGGAGACTGGGGGAAGACAGAGATTGGATTAGTTCTGTTTGGAAAGGGGGAATCCCTTCCAGCAAACCTCAGATCCCAAGTCCTTTTTGGGGTTGCTTCTTTTCTTGTTTTTAATGCCACTGGGAAAACGTTGGAGTCATGGACCCCGGTTCGAAAAATAACCCCCAGAGAGCTCTGTTTCTGAGTCTCTTTAACATTTCCCCAAAAGGGCCCAAGACTTTGCCCTGTAATTTTGCCAAATGGCTTGAAACAGCCTTGTCGGGTGATGTTTCTCCAAAAATCTTTTCTTTTCCCCCAAATTGAAAAAAATCCCCTTAATTTCTGAAAAAGGGCCCCTTCTTCATCTTCTTCCCCCTCCTCTGCGCAAGATTCTGAGCTGGATCTGTTGTTTCCTGCTGAAGCTCTTGCAGTCCTCAGTGGTGAGCTCTTCCTGTGGTCTTCCCCCAACCTTTCCACATCCCCCAAAACTCCACCCAAACCCCTATGGAATCCCCGTCCCAAAAACAGTTTTAAACAACAGACATAGGCCCAGGGTCAGCCACAAACCTTCAAAATCCCTCTTGTCGACACGTTGGCCACAATTTTCCCCAAAAGAGAGTTCAAAGTCTGGTGTCATCCCCCCACCCTTAATTAGGCTTATGCAATGGAGGATGCTGAAGGTTTCTCCAAAAAAACTCTTAGGGGCAAGTGGTGTCGAGGTACATTTAAACACCTTTGAAACATTGCTTTGGTGTAGAGTTTTTAAAGTTTGCAATGGGCCCGTTGGGCCATGGGCTGGAGGAGAGGAGGGTATTCGGGGGGCAAGAACTTTACTGTGTGAAACCCAAAATCCCCGAAAATTGGCTCCGTTTGGAGGAAGGAGGGGGGCATTTTTCATTCTACAGGCACTTTGGTCCAATTTTTTTCCAGGGGTAATTCTTCACACTAGGGCAAAACTTCATTGAACCCTTGATGAAAATTTCCCCGTGATCATGCCCCTTTCTATTTGTTTCCAAAACCACACAATTTACTCTTCATAACAGGGTTTTTTCCCGAACACTCTGGGTTTTAGAAAGGTACCTAGTAAGGTTCAGTTAGAAACCCCCCCAGCATTAGCACAGAACATGAGGTAGCCTCTTTCTAGGCTTGTGTCCGGGAAATGCCTTTTCCTCCTGTGTAATGCAGGTCCTCTCTGGCTTTTTCCCAAAAAAGGCCTGTTTCGTCTAACTGAACACTTGTTCAGGTTTAGTCCTTCAGCCTCTATGTACTCTTGAATTCATGAAATATTTTTTCAGCTGTTTTGTGGTCGAACGACAGCCTCACTATGCCTTACCCACGTGTAGTGTCGGTTTTAAAACTCTCAAACCCAAACCTTTGGGCCTTAAATTCACTCACTCCCCACTATTTGCAGGCAATTTTTTTACCAGATCGTCGGCAACGCCCAGCCTTTTTTAAAATAAACGTGCTAACACATTCCCGCTAAAGTTTCTTGTTTATCCCCGCAATAAAAACTTTCAACCTTTCGAGTATGGTGATCTTTTTTTGTCGCAAAATTTTCCCCTTCGCAAAACAGCATCCTTGATTTCCTTTTTCTTGGCCACGATGGTTGTGTAGGGTCTGTTATACATCCTGGCCAGTTCGGCCGCACTTAAGCCACTTTCATATTGTTCAATGATGTTTTTCTTAAATTCAATAGTATTTCTCACCTTCTTTACCAAAGACTTGGCACTAGGAGCTTTCTTTGGAGCCATGGTAGCTTATTTAGTACTTGAAAGCACTAAAATGAGTGGATTATGAAATATTTTGTAGGAGCACGTGAGGGGACCTTCGCTTACTGGTAAACAATGCCAGACTGGTTGGGTAGGGAGGCTACCCCGGCTCACACCGTGCGTACGTGTCCCGGACGACCTACTATTTGCGAGTCAATCTACGATTAGCGAGCCCACGTTTATACGAAAATATCGCTATGATTTTCGAAATCTACGACTCTCGAGAACTACGATTATCGAGGGACCACTGTATACTGTAATGTACAGTAAACTCTCTCATAATATGACGGCACATGAATTCTTTTGGCTTAATGCCACAGAGAAATCTGGGTAGTAAACTCCACAGATCTTTCTTTACAATCTTCTCTCAGAGCCACAAGCCCCTGCTGTGCCTTCAGCTGAATAAGTTTCTAGACAATGTCTCTTTCATCTAACAAAGGTCTTTCAAAAATCTATATAACTTATGAATTCTTAATTTGCATAAAGCACCTGCATAATAAGCTTTAAAAGAATATTCAGTGCATTAATATCAGGAATACTCAGAAAGTTCAGCAGAAAAAGATGACAACTTGATCAGCTTTTCACAATGTAATTACACATTCCAGTACCTTTAACAGTCATGTTCCTTCTCTAACTGTACTTCTACAACTGTTGGATACAGTGGAAACTGATAAAAGTGTGAAAAATTTCTTAAATAATATAACTGTGTAGGAAACTTTGATAACCATAGCTATAATAAAGTTGTTTGTGTTGTTGATATATAAGGCCACTAACTTATGTAGTACTGACCCATAGTTTACACCTTCCCACATCTCCCAGACATAACCCACTAACACCACTGGAAGCATGGATTAAAATGCACATGTCATCAAAGATCCTGTAAAACAATATTTTATTACAGTCCTACTGCATTTTCCTTGGTTGTTGCTTTCTTCAATGCATTCATTTTTAGTTTCTATATGCATACTATGTACGTATATTTGTTTTCAACATACTGGCCGTATCCCACCAAGGCAGGGTGATCTAAATAAACTTTTGTTTTTCTTTTTACATTCAGTAACTCATACTGGAGAGGGATGGTTACTAGCCCCTTGCTCTAGGTTCTATATGTTCAGTACAATTTGGTAAGGCAATATGGCTTTTATTTCTGTTATGTTTACATGTATGCCTAGGGTTGATATGATAAGCCTAACTGCATCCAACTTAATCCAGCAGGGCTGTATCAACGTCTCAACACAGACATTAGCAAAATAAAATTAAAAGAAAAAAAAAGTTATTCTGTATTTTTTTTTTTGGGGGGGGGGGGGGGGGGGGAAGAATCAAGATGATCTTATTTTTTTCCCCACATACTTTGCATTACATAATGCTAATTTACACAAGACAATTTTCAGAAATGTATCCCCAACATTATAGGTTTACTCAACTTAATAATTGGCATTTTAACACTATATATAGCAGAACCCCCTGTATCCACAGATTCGATTTCTGCAACTTACCCTGGCTCGAAAATAACCCTTAATTTTGCTTAATAATGGCCCCAAAGTGAAAAAGTAGTGATGCTGGTAGTTCTTCAAAGCCTAAGAGAAGCCATGAAGTGCTTCCCATCATGAAAAAGTGCTAATTCTTGACTTATTGTGCATAATTTATCAATTAAACTTTATTATAGGGTTCAATACTATCCACAATTACGGGTATTCACAGTAGATCTTGGAATGTATCCCCCGTGGATAATGGGGGACTACAGTATAGTTAAATAACCTCAATACATATTTAATTCTCTCAACTCATCTCTAGTTTATCTGTAATTACTTACAGTAGTACATTTTAATTCCAATAAATGATCAAGAGCATAATCTATTATAGCATTAAATTACATTACTGTTTTTATCAAGGTATTGCTATTTGTGTGCAATGAAATTATTATTATATACAGTACATAGAACAAATTTAAACCATCTTCACACCTATGTAATGCATTTTCAAAAGAAAATTACTGTCACTAGGTGTAAATACTTCATCCCAAAAGTTGATAAAAACTACCAGATCAATTGACACATTTAATAATATCTGTACAATATAAGTAATAACATGTAATATAAGCAAGAACCAACCTGTCTCAGTGGAGAATACACGAAAGCTGTTGTCCCAGAAGCCACAGGCAATAATGAAACGCGAGTCGACAGTAGTTACAAAACAATTGCTCCTCATCCGAACTTTCTGACTGAAGTTGTCTCCTAGATGACGTTTCTGCTGCTGACTACTACTGTTGCCTGAAGCAGCTTGCTCTGAGGGGTAATTTATTATTTACACAATTCCTTTAGGAGATATAATTTATAGGAACTCTGATAACAATTAATGCTTCTTGAACATTTTCATTACATATAAACAGAATTCTATTAGTGAAATCAGAGAGAATGCTCGGTATCTTACGTAGGACGGGATCCATGGACAGAGGCAAGAGTGTGGACGGTGACTGACTACCTTCAGCATAGCTGGGACTCTGTACATTCACTGAAAGATAATTTTTTTTAGTTATTACTCATGAAAAATAAATCTTCTAAGTCAACAATTTACAATTTTATTGAACTGGATAACCATAAATTCATATTTTCTATTAGAAATGTAGTGAAACTTCATTACTCACAGCTTTGGTATTCAAAAAACTACTTTTCATAGTAAATTTCTTTGGACTGTCCAGCAAACTTAATACACAGTACAGTACTCAATTACCGACAGACTCAAGGATCCTGCAGGGTCTGTCCACAATGAGGCAACTAGTACCCAAGAACCATAAAAATGTAAATGATGGAAAAACTTTTACTTCATACAATGGAGGAATGTAGTGCAGTTCAAGGGTCTGCACAGATTAGGAATACATCCAGCACGAATTGTATTCAGCCAAAAACAAATGGTGCAAATTCTATGTTTAGGACATCTGTAAACATGGAATATCAGGGAAAACGAATGAGGCATGCAACTTTGAGCATCCCAAAAAATGCCACAACCTCCTGTATAAAGGAGTGTGTCATTCTACTTCTTGCAAATTCTTCCACCCTGAGATGTGTCATTCTTCAGTCCTTGAAAAACAATGTTACAATACCAATTGCATCGCATACCATTTAAAAGGGACTAGGAGGCACACACCCTGTACAACACATCATAGTAGCTATGGTAGTTATGACAACACCAAGTGATTATTTAGTGGTAGGAAACAAAGAGATAACCAAAATAGTCCACCACCTTGGAGCCTTGTTAGACTGGAAGCACAGCCAATGGCCCTTCTGGACTCACAGCTACTGATGCCAACAACAAAATCCCCCCAACGAACATGCAACACAACCTCATTTATATTTGCTAATATACAGGGCCTTAAGCCATCCACCAACAACAAAATACCTTTCATTAGTAGACTTCTAGGGGAGTCAAATACACTGTTTGTAGCCTTCACAGAGACCCATGCAAAAGATTACTTTGACAGTGAAATATGGATACCTGGATACAACCTTTTCAGATGTGACAGAAAGAACAGGCAACATGGGAAGGTTGGCCTGTATGTCAAAGAGGTACTCATTTGCACAGAGATACTGAACACCACATATGATGTAGTTGAAGTTCTGATAAAAAATCGAGAACCAAAACTTAGTCATTGTACTTGTATATAAGCCACCAGATGCAACTTCCCAACAGTTCGAAGAACAACTATCAAAAATTGACTCCTGTCTGGGAAACTTTCCAGCCTCATCTCCAAACATCTTGCTGCTTGGTGACTTCAATTTAAGATATATAAAATGGAAGTATATAACAAATAATGTTGTAGCAGAAATAATCCCTGGAGGCAGCTCAGATGAAAAGTCTCACACACAGGAGCTGCTGAATTTCTGCAACAAACACACCCTAAGTCAGCAGATAGTGGAGCCAACAAGACTGGAGAACATCCTAGACCTTATTTTCACAAATAATGAGGACTTGGTAAGAAACATAACATCAAAAACAACAAATTCTGATCACAATCTAATTGAAGTCTAGACTTACATACACAGGAGTCCTGATCAGCAAAATACATACAGCTATGAGGGTACCTTTACCAAATTCAAGTTCAACAACAAGAACCTCATCTAGGGTCAGGTAAACTATGCCCTAAATGAAACATGCTGGGAAGATATCTTAAATTACACGGACCCTAACCAATGCCTTGAAAAGATCAACCTCCTGGTGGCTGAAGTATGTTCAAGGTATATTCCTAAAAGAAAAAAGAAAAGAAGTAAACTGGAGAGAGGCGCTCCCTCTACAGGAGAAGACGAAGAATCACTGAGCTCCTCAAGAATGCCAGATTATCTGGTACACATAAGGAAGTGCTAACCAGGGATGTGGAAAATATTGAGCTACAGTTAAAAGACTCATACAGGATCCAGGAGAGACGAGAGGAGTTAAAAGCAATTAGTGAAAATGAAAGAAATTCAAAATATTTCTTTTCGTATGCCAAAAACAAGGCAAAAACCACTTCTAGTACAGGGCCCCTGCTCAGACAAGATGGATCCTACACAGACGACAACAAAGAAACGAGTGAGATACTGAAATCTCAATATGACTCTGTGTTCAGCGAGCCACTAATCAGTCTAAAGATACACAATCCAAACAATTTTTTCCATGAATGAGCCTCAAAACCCTGCCAATGTATGCCAAATTTCTAACATAACCCTTACTCAACTAGACTTTGAGAAAGCCATCGACGACATGCCCGTGCAATCAGCCCCAGGCCCAGACTAGTGGAACTCGGTGTTCATTAAGAAACGCAAGAAACCCCTCTCACGGGCCCTCAGTATACTATGGAGAAGGAGCTTTGACACAGGTGAGATTCCAAAGTCAATAAAAATGATGGATATAGCCCCACTCCATAAAGGTGGCAGCAAAGCAGTAGCTAAGAACTATAGACCAATAGCTTTAAGGTCCCATATCATAAAAAATCTTTGAGAGAGTTCTAAGAAGCGGGATAGCAAACCACCTGGACTCCCAAAAATTGCACAACCCAGGGCAACATGGTTTCAGAGCACGTCACTCCTCCCTTTCGCAACTGCTAGACCACTATGATATGGTCTTAGATGCATTGGAAAGCAAACAGAATGCAGATGTAGTATACACAGATTTGGCAAAAGCCTTTGACAAGCGAGACCATGGTGTAATAGCACACAAAATGCGTGATAAGGGATAACTGGCAAAGTAGGCAGATGGATTTTCAACTTTCTAACCAATCGCACACAAAGAGTAGTGGTAAACAGAGTTAAATCAGATGATGCCATAGTGAAGAGCTCTGTCCCACAAGGCACAGTACTTGCACCTATCCTGTTCCTCATTCTCATATCAGACATAGAGATGTAAACCATAGCACTGTATCATCCTCTGCAGATGATACTAGGATATGCATGAGTGTGTCATTCATTGAGGACACGGCAAAGCTCCAAGAAGATATAAACCAAGTTTTCCAATGGGCAACAAGAACAATATGATGTTCAATGAAGACAAATTCCAATTACTCCATAACTAGGACTGAGTATACTACAAACTCTAATCACACATTAGAACAGAAAAGACATGTGAAGGACCTGGGTGTGGTAATGTCCAAAGACCTCACCTTCAAGGACCACAACAATGCCACTATCACATCTGCAAAGAAACTGATAAGATGGATAATGAAAACATTCAAGACAAGAGATGCTAAGCCAATGATGATCCTTTTTAAATCACTTGTTCTCTCTAGGCTGGAATACTGCTGTACATTAACATCCCCATTCAAGGCAGGTGAAATTGAAGATCTAGAGAATGTACAGAGAACCTTTACTGCATGTATAAGTTCCATCAAACACCTTAACTACGGGGAATGCCTGGAAGCACTTGGCTTGTACTTGCTGGAGTGCAGGTGAGAGAGATGTATCATAATCTACACCTGGAAGATTCTGGAGGGACTGGTCCCTAATATGCACACACAAATCACTCCATACGAAAGGAAAAGACTTGGCAGGTGATGCAACATACCCCCAGTGAAAAGTACGGGCGTCACTGGTACACTACGAGAAAATGCAATAAGTGTCCAGAGCCCTAGACTGTTCAACAGCCTCCCACCAGCAATAAGGAGCATTACCATTAGACCCCTGGTTGTCTTCAAGAGGGAGCTGGACAGATACCTAAAGTTGGTGCCAGATCAGCCGGGCTGTGGTTCGTATGTTGGATTGCGTGCGGCCAGCAGTAACAGCCTCGTTGATCAGGCCCTGATCCACCAGGAGGCCTGGTCATGGATCAGGCCGCGGGGGCGTTGATCCCCAGAATACCCTCCAGGTAGACTGTATAATATTATATAGGTTCATCTCGCTTATTTTTCTACAAAACTGGATTGTGAGCAAGGTAACATTCATGAAGAGATTCAGGGAAACTGGTTAGCAGGAATTGAGTCCTGGAGGTGGGCAGTACAGTGCCTGCACTCTGAAGGGATTGAAGGGGGGGATATGTTGCAGTTTTTTTTTTTAACTGTAGTGTAGGCATGCCTCTGGCAAGACAGTGATGGAATGATAGGTGATGAAAGTGTTTCTTCTTTTTTTGAGTCACCCTGCCTCAGTGGGAAATGGCTGATGTGTTAATAAAAAAAAAAATTAAGGGAAATCACAATAGTGCTGTATATAAGGGGAAATTTGAGGAAAGTAGCTGGTCCCATTATTTACGTACTGAACAAACTCGAAAAGAATTGGAGACAAAATGGAGTTGCTTTCTATGGTATTTAAAAAAAAAAAAGTGGGAGGAAAGAAAAAGCTTTACTTTAAGTGCAGGTACACCTACCATCCGACTTACGACCTGCTCAACATACGACGACTCGACTTATGACCGTGCTTTTTATGCCAAATTTCTGGGAAATAAACAAGTGTTTGTGTTGTACACAGTGTTTATCCTAAACCTTACAGTATAAAATACAGTACTAACATCATAAAAAGTAAAGTAAAACATGAAATGCCAAAATAAAACAATAAAATAAAGTCATTACAAAAATGTTATGTTGATATTCAGTAGTAAAGTTCGACTTACGTCCATTTCGACTTACGACCGTTTTCTTGGAGCTGAACTCGGTCATAAGTCGGATGGTAGGTGTATAAGACTCAGAAACACGGGTACACTGAGCTAAATGCCACACACACAATATCTATTTACCAGTTAATTAAACAATTCACTATGTACCCTGCCAAACACATTCAAGCACGACTGTATTTGGTTGAAAATAAGGTGCCTACACATTGTAGGCACTCACTAAAGATGAGAACTTGTTGTTCATTAAAAATTACGAGAGAAAAAACAAGACGTGGAGCTGGAATCCGATGAGGATTGGCTGTCATTGCCACTCTTATAATTTTGAACCCAAGAAATAAATGCAGCTTTGTATTTTGTTGGAAATACTGGAAAATGTGGCAATATATCAAAAGCATTCAGTGTAACTAAGTACGGTATGACAAAAGCATGATATAATCTGAGAGGAAGCCAGTTGGTTAGTAAAGTGGCAGGCTGAATAGTTAGTGCCACTTGAATTATTTCACAAAACAAATTAGTGTTGTCTTTTGCAGAAAATAACTAGACATAACAGGTATTCAATGAAGATGAAACTGGGTTATATCAATTTGTATTTCAAGAGAGAAAAAGCATGAATTATCTTGAAAGGTAGTCAGTGGATCAGCTAACAGGTAGCATTGATGGATACAGTCACTTGCATGTCTCTGCATTAATTATTATTATTATTATCACACTGACCAATTCCCACCAAGGCAGGGTGGCCTGAAAAAGAAAAACTTTCACCATCATTCACTCCATCACTGTCTTGCCAGAAGGGTGCTTTACACTACAGTTTTTAAACTGCAACATTAACACCCCTCCTTCAGAGTGCAGGCACTGTACTTCCCATCTCCAGGACTCAAGTCCGGCCTGCCGGTTTCCCTGAACCCCTTCATAAATGTTACTTTGCTCACACTCCAACAGCACGTCAAGTATTAAAAACCATTTGTCTCCATTCACTCTTATCAAACACGCTCACGCATGCCTGCTGGAAGTCCAAGCCCCTGGCACACAAAACCTCCTTTACCCCCTCCCTCCAACCTTTCCTAGGCCGACCCCTACCCCGCCTTCCTTCCACTACAGACTGATACACTCTTGAAGTCACTCTGTTTCGCTCCATTCTCTCTACATGTCCGAACCACCTCAACAACCCTTCCTCAGCCCTCTGGACAACAGTTTTGGTAATCCCGCACCTCCTCCTAACTTCCAAACTACGAATTCTCTGCATTATATTCACACCACACATTGCCCTCAGACATGACATCTCCACTGCCTCCAGCCTTCTCGCTGCAACATTCATCACCCATGCTTCACACCCATATAAGAGCGTTGGTAAAACCATACTCTCATACATTCCCCTCTTTGCCTCCAAGGACAAAGTTCTTTGTCTCCACAGACTCCTAAGTGCACCACTCACCCTTTTTCCCTCATCAATTCTATGATTCACCTCATCTTTCATAGACCCATCCGCTGACACGTCCACTCCCAAATATCTGAATACATTCACCTCCTCCATACTCTCTCCCTCCAATTTGATATCCAATCTTTCATCACCTAATCTTTTTTATCCTCATAACCTTACTCTTTCCTGTATTCACTTTTAACTTTCTTCTTTTGCATACCCTACCAAATTCATCCACCCATCTCTGCAACTTCTCTTCAGAATCTCCCAAGAGCACAGTGTCATCAGCAAAGAGCAACTGTGACAACTCCCACTTTATGTGTGATTCTTTATCTTTTAACTCCACGCTTTTTGCCAAGACCCTCGCATTTACTTCTCTTACAACCCCATCTATATTAAACAACCATGGTGACATCACACATCCTTGTCTAAGGCCTACTTTTACTGGGAAATAATTTCCCTCTTTCCTACATACTCTAACTTGAGCCTCACTATCATCGTAAAAACTCTTCACTGCTTTCAGTAACCTACCTCCTACACCATACACCTGCAACATCTGCCACATTGCCCCCCTATCCACCCTGTCATACGCCTTTTCCAAATCCATAAATGCCACAAAGACCTCTTTAGTCTTATCTAAATACTGTTCACTTATATGTTTCACTGTAAACACCTGGTCCACACACCCCCTACCTTTCCTAAAGCCTCCTTGTTCATCTGCTATCCTATTCTCCATCTTACTCTTAATTCTTTCAATAATAACTCTACCATACACTTTACCAGGTATACTCAACAGACTTCTCCCCCTATAATTTTTGCACTCTCTTTTGTCCCCTTTGCCTTTATACAAAGGAACTATGCATGCTCTCTGCCAATCCCTAGGTACCTTACCCTCTTCCATACATTTATTAAATAATTGCACCAACCACTCCAAAACTATATCCCCACCTGCTTTTAACATTTCTATCTTTATCCCATCAATCCCGGCTGCCTTACCCCCTTTCATTTTACATACTGCCTCACAAACTTCCCCCACACTCACAACTGGCTCTTCCTCACTCCTACAAGATGTTATTCCTCCTTGCCCTATACACGAAATCACAGCTTCCCTATCTTCATCAACATTTAACAATTCCTCAAAATATTCCCTCCATCTTCCCAATACCTCTAATTCTCCATTTAATAACTCTCCTCTTCGATTTTTAACTGACAAATCCATTTGTTCTCTAGGCTTCCTTAACTTGTTAATCTCACTCCAAAACTTTTTCTTATTTTCAACAAAATTTGTTGATAACATCTCACCCACTCTCTCATTTGCTCTCTTTTTACATTGCTTCACCACTCTCTTAACCTCTCTCTTTTTCTCCATATACTCTTCCCTCCTTGCATCACTTCTACTTTGTAAAAACTTCTCATATGCTAACTTTTTCTCCCTGCATTAAATGAATAAATTATAGTACTGTGTTTTGCTCTATATGGATGAAAATAGCTTGCTTTGTCTCACATTTCAAGACACAAGTTAGACTTTCAAAAATGGAATTTTTAAAATATTGGAGAACAGTGATTGCTTGTGATTCTCAAGGATTTGGTATATATAACACTTCCAGGAACATAACCCTGTGAATAACAGTTTCACTGTATTTATGAAAAAGAAATCAAATTAATTTGCACATTTCTACACTAAGGAAGAAATTAATGCTTAGATATTCTAGCTTTAAATTATATATTGCATTCAGCATCAAGATACTGTATTATGAACAATGATACCATTTTTTTTTTCAACAAGTCGGCCGTCTCCCACCGAGGCAGGGTGACCCAAAAAGAAAGATAATCCCCAAAAAGTAAAATACTTTCATCATTCAAAATTTTCACCTCACTCACACATAATCACTGTTTTTACAGAGGTGCCCAGAATACAACAGTTTAGAAGCATACAAGTATAAAAATACACAATATATCCCTCCAAACTGCCAATATCCCAAACCCCTCCTTTAGAGTGCAGGCATTGTACTTCCCATTTCCAGGACTCAAGTCTGGCTATATATTCAGGGTTTCCCTGAATCCCTTCACTAAATATTACCCAGCTCACACTCCAACAGTTCACCAGGTCCCAAATACCATTCGTCTCCATTCACTCCTATCTAACACGCTCATGCACGCTTGCTGGAAGTCCAAACCCCTCGCCCACAACACCTCCTTTCTAAATCTAAATTTATCCTTTACCCCTTCCCTCCAACCTTTTCGAGGACGACCCCTACCCTGCCTTCCTTCCCCTACAGATTTATACGCTTTCCATATCATTCTACTTTGATCCATTCTCTCTAAATGACCAAACCACCTCAACAAACCCTCTTCAGCCCTCTGACTAATACTTTTTATTAACTCCACACCTTCTCCTAATTTCCACACTCCGAATTTTCTGCATAATATTTACACCACACATTGCCCTTAGACAGGACATCTCCACTGCCTCCAACTGCCTCCTCGCTGCAGCATTTACAACCCAAGCTTCAGACCCATATAAAAGTGTTGGTACTACTATACTTTCATACATTCCCTTCTTTGCCTCCACAGATAACATTTTTTGCCTCCACATATACCTCAATGCACCACTCGCCTTTTTTCCTTCATCAATTCTACGATTAACCTCATCCTTCATGAATCCATCTGCTGACACATCAACTCCCAAATATCTGAAAACATTCACTTCTTCATTACTCCTCCCCAATTTGATATCCAATTTTTCTTTATCTAAATCATTTGATACCCTCATCACCTTACTCTTTTCTATGATCACTTTCAACTTTCTACCTTTACACACACTCCCAAATTCATCCACTAACCTTTGCAATTTTTCTTTAGAATCTCCCATAAGCACAGTATCATCAGCAAAAAGTAACTGTGTCACTTTCCATTTTGTATTTAATTCCCCATAATTTAATCCCACCCCTCTCCCGAACACCCTAGCATTTACTTCTTTTACAACCCCATCTATAAATATATTAAACAACCATGGTGACATTACACATCCCTGTCTAAGACCTACTTTTACCGGGAAGTAGTCTCCCTCTCTTCTACATGCCCTAACCTGAGCCTCACTATCCTCATAAAAACTCTTTACAGCATTTAGTAACTTACCACCTATTCCATATACTTGCAACATCTGCCACATTGCTCCCCTATCCACTATCATATGCCTTTTCTAAATCCATAAATTCAATAAAACCTTCCCTACCTGTATCTAAATACTGTTCACATATATGCTTCAAAAAGAATAAGAAGAAGATACCATTTCTAATCACAAAATAAAAGTAGAGTACATACCAGAGTAGTTAGTGTTCCAGCGGTTGATAGCAAAATGATGATTGTTTGTGAGGGTAACAACAGATGGAAGAGGCAGCTGAGGATAAGTATTGGCAGAGATATGACAGATAGGGGAGTTGCTCACAAACTTCATCACCATACACACGTCCTCACACACACCAGAAAACATCAGCGGTGACTGCAAAAGAATCGTAATACAAAAGAATCAGAATAATGACCAAACACCAACCACAAATTCATACATTATATACTGTACAGATAACTATTTTAAGCTTGATCATGAATCCTTTTTCCAATGTTGCTACTTTACTCAGTCAAATAATTAATGGTTAATAGTAGATAGTATTAATATAGTATTTATTCACAAAGACACTAAACTAGAGTCCACTGACTTATATATCACACAAAATTTTTTTAAGATTTCTTACATCAAAATAACCTGAGATACATCATGATTAAGCAAGTATTCTGTATGCTTTAGTGTTCTGCTTATTCAGAAACCAGTTATCAAGAATTTTTAATTTCCCAGAACTTGGATATTTATATATATATATCATTTACAATGCTCAACTAAATTTAAGATACCCAACACATTATTCAATTGCAAGTTTTAAATAAACAATGCAATAAAATGACTTACTGGAGCCACCCAACAAGCAATGCATAAGCCAGCAGGCCTTACATTTACAGATACGTACATTTAAAATATATTTAGAGTGATATATAGAGTACAAGTAAATTCTTTATCTTATTTACAGGCAATACATTTACAATGTCTCGTGAAATATTCACATTTATATGTAATTCATTTGCAAATTCATGTAAGGTATCCATCTTACTTCATATGCTTATTCAGTAACTACCTCATTAACAGGCAATTCAATAAATGTAGGGTAATAATTATGGTAAGCTAAGATGGGTCCAGGTATGCAGAATATCCTTATATCTGGAATAACCTTTGTTCCATTCTTTCTGGATGTAAGAGACTTTACTGTAACAGCATAGTATGACTGTTATATACCTTCCTACAAAATATAATAAAGCTATCATATAAAGTCATTCCTCACCTTCATGCTACATATCATATACAGTGGACCCCCGGTTAACGATATTTTTTCACTCCAGAAGTATGTTCAGGTGCCAGTACTGACTGAATTTGTTCCCATAAGGAATATTGTGAAGTAGATTAGTCCATTTCAGACCCCCAAACATACACATACAAACGCACTTACATAAATACACTTACATAATTGGTCGCATTCGGAGGTGATCGTTATGCGGGGGTCCACTGTACGTGAAAATATGTAGACTTACAGTAAATAAGTTATTTAACTGAATGGCAATTAAAACTACTGAAAAGTGAGCTGGATTATCTTTAACATTAAATTTGCAAGACAATTTTTAAATACGCTTCAAGCTATAAAATCCGTTTTGAAATACACTAGACTGCCTCTATGATGGCTGATCAGTCAGGCTATCAGTCATAGCAGCATTCTGTTCGACATAAGCACCACATCCTCATTGATCAAGTGTTACCTGGAGTAATTAGTAAAGTTCCTTCTTGAAGACATACATGGGTGTGCGTGTAATGCGTGAACGACTTGGCACCAAAACTCACCAGATGCATAGCTGAAGAGCGAGGTGGATGGGGCTCCATCAACAACTGAGATGGGGTCTGTCCGAAGTTTCGAATTTGGTTCTCAATAGCCTGGAAACAAAATTTAGAATAGTAACAATGATAAGACAGACAATTCTAAGCTAAATTTTTATTGTTCATGTTAATTTAGCTAAGTGTATGAACATAATTATAAACCAAATAAAACACCTTACAAATACAGTAGGGCCCCACTTACATGGCAGGTTAGGTTCCAGGCTACCGCCATAAAGCAGAAATCGTCGTAAAGTGGAATGCCCTTTTTTCCACTTATAAATGCATATAAATGCTGGATAACAAGTTTTACACCAATATATATTAAGTTAGCAATAGAACTAGGTATTAAAAAACAATAAAAAAAAGTAAAATACACATATAGTACACTCATTACTTACCTTAAAATATTTATGGTCTTAATACAGGTTGCGAGGTGAGTAGTATTTATTTGTAAGAAGTCAGGGGTGGGGAGGTATGGTAGCCAGACAGGCCAGGCCACCCCACCCACTCGTGATAAACTATGACATTGAAAGCGTCCCAGAGCAATAAAATGCATACACAGTCTTACCAGAGGTATGCAGATATGTATTACAGTACAATTGAAATGACCTCCGAAACAGCAACATCGCCATCTCTCGAGTATGCAAGTACTGTAAGCACCTCTCGTACATAAAATAAAAAATAAAACAAAACAGCAACACTTAATTAACATTCATTTTCTCAATGTGTTGTGCATGTATGCCAAACAAAAATTCAAATACATATACACATAGTTACTATAAATATTATCATGAAAATAAACTTTTCCTTCTATGTTTGTCATGAAATCCTTTCCTTATGCTTCCTTATGTCCAATAAAAATTCTCACATTCTACAATGTGAAATTCATTACCTACATTAGTTGCTCTGTCACTGTTTTCATGGATATGTATGAGGCAAGACAAAATTACAATGTTATTATGTACTTCTGCCGCCAGAAAACCCCAAACTTTGCCAGCCTACCAACATGTTACAGTACATTTACTTAAAAACTTAAAATACAAAAATTGGCAAACACAAGTTTTACAATTAATTTAAATTATGTAATTACCATCCTTACCTCTCTCATTACTAAGTCCTGAATTGAATCCAAGTCAACAGAGCCTTCATATGTGAGGTAATAAAAGACATTAGTGGCTCGTACTGCCTCAGGCCCACGCTGTTTGTATCCAAAGATGAGGTCAATCCATTGATGCAACTGACAAGAGACAAACTCAGATTCCAGTGCCTGCAAAAGAAGAAAATTATGAGTTATTACAATAGGTTTTAGCTCACCATTTCAGACTTGGATGAGCCGAATCGAAATGGTTATAGGGAATAACGGAATTTGGCTATCTTGTTAACAAATTAGTTATGAAAAACTCAAGAACTGAAAACTTGCATCTATGAATATATATATATTTATGCTTTGACAATTACATTAATAATACTGGAATAAAAGTGAACATAACACAGTCAGATACGGGTTATATAGTTTTTCTTTTTTTTTTTAGAGAACAGTGTGCTCAAAAAAGATTTTGAATTAGTATACTGAAGATGTTTACTAAAGTGCTAATGCTCTGCGAGTTGACTAATTTTTATACCATACTTGGTTAATGTCACAGTTATAAAACTGTTTATTGATGCATTATTGTGGAGTCTAATTTATTTTGGTTTTGGGACCAATAACAGTGTCACTCGAATCCATTATGTTAAGTGGAAGTCTTATACATTATATGTACAGTGAAACTCCGGATTTCGGCTGCCCTGAGAATGTCCCGCTTCGGGTTCCGACCGCTTTTTTCAGCCAAATTTTGTCCCATGTTTCGGCCGGCATACCAGACCTGTCCGCCTGCCCACACAGGCATTGAGAGCAGTCTAGCGTTGTTTATCCTTGAGTGAACATTGCCCTGCCCTGCCCTGCCCAGGCAGGCAGGCAGGCAGGGCAGGCAGGGCAGGCAGGGCAGGGCAGGGCAGGGCAGGCAGGGCAGGCCAGGGCAGGGCAGGGCAGGCAGGGCAGGCAAGGGCAGGGCAGGGCAGGGCAGGGCAGGGCAGGGCAGGGCAGGGCAGGGCAGGCCAGGGCAGGCCAGGGCAGGGCAGGCAGGGCAGGGCAGGGCAGGGCAGGCAGGGCAGGGCAGGCAGGGCAGGGCAGGCAGGCAAGCAGGGAAGGGCAGGGCAGGGCAGGGCAGGGCAGACAGGCAGGGCAGGGCAGACAGGCAGGGCAGGGCAGACAGGCAGGGCAGGGCAGGGCAGACAGGCAGGGCAGGGCAGGGCAGGGCAGACAGGCAGGGCAGGGCAGGGCAGACAGGCAGGGCAGGGCAGGGCAGACAGGCAGGGCAGGGCAGGGCAGACAGGCAGGGCAGGGCAGGGCAGGGAAGGGCAGGGCAGGGCAGGCATTAATTGTGACTGTGAAATAAGTCACCAGGCCTCCCGATGGATCAGGGCCTGATCAGCCTAGTTGATCAGGCCCTGATCCATCGGGAGGCCTGGTCATGGACCGGGCCGCGGGGGCGTTGATCCCCGGAATAACCTCCAGGTATGGGCCCTGTGGTAAAGGAAGTGAAGAACACCATAGCAATGAAGAAGGAGTTAGTAGAAAAATATGAGAGTGGCATTCATGTGGGGGAGCGTGCCAGGATGTACGGCAAAAACACATCAACTATCACTTCTATCCTGGCGAAGAGAAAAGAACTCAAGCTGAGGTTGCGAAAGGTGTTGTCATGTTATCCAAAAATAGATTACAACAGTCGAAGAGGATGAGAAGTTGTTGGTGGTGTGGTTCAACAATAAACAGATAGCGGGTGACAGTGTTTCAGTCGATCATTTGTGAGAAGGCAAGGCAGTTGCATGCCGATCTCAAAGAAAATGCCTGGAACCAGTGCTGATGTTAGTGAATTTAAGGCCAGCAGAGGCTGGTTTGACAGATTTAAGAAGCATAGTGGCATACATAGTGTGGTAAGCCATGATAAGGCAGCAAGTTCAGACAAATGTGCGGCTGAAAACTTCGTGAGTGAATTTACGGGGTACGTAGAGACTGAAAAATTCAAACCCCAGCAAGTGTTCAATTGTGACGAAACAGGCCTGTTTTGGAAGAAAATGCCAAAGAGGACCTACATTACTCAGGAAGAAAAGGCACTGCTAGGACACAAGCCTATGAAAGACAGGCTAACTCTTGTGTTCTGTGGTAACACTAGTGGGGATTTTAAAGTGAAGCCTTTACTGGTATATCATTCAGAAAATCCAAGTGTGTTCAAGAAAAACAATGTCATCAAGAATAAATTGTGTGTCTTGTGGAAAGCAAATAATAAGGCATGGGTCATGAAGCAAATTTTCAAAGAGTGGGTCCATGAAGTGTTTGGTGCCAGTGTGAAAAAATACCTCATGGAAAATAATTTACCACTCAAGTGCCTCCTGGTAATGGACAATGGTCCTGTTCATCCTCCAAACTTGGAAGACTTATTGTCTAGGGACTTCAATTATAACATTTAAGCTTTTGCCTCCTAATACCACTCCTCTCCTCCAGCCAATGGACCAGCAGGTCATTTCTAACTTCAAAAAACTCTACACTAAAGCAGTATTTGAAAGGTGCTTTGAAGTGACCTCAGACACTCAGTTGACCCTAAGAGAGTTCTGGAGGAAGCACTTCAGTATCCTCCATTTCATAAGCCTTATAGGTGAGGCTTGGGAAGGAGTGACTTCCAGGACTTTGAACTCTGCTTGGAGACGATTGTGGCCACAATGTGTCATCCAGAGGGATTTTGAAGGATTTGAGGCTGACCCTGACCCTGCCGACTCTCTGCCTGTTGTGGAAGTTATTGTGGCATTGGACAAGTCCATGGGGTTGGAGGCGAGTGGTGAGGATGTGGAAGAGTTGGTGGAGTACCACAGGGAAGAGCTAACCACTGACAAACTACAACTGGAACAGCATCAGACCACAGCTGAGAAACTTGCTTCAGAGGAGGAGGAGGAAGAGGGAGTGAAGGAGGTGCCTTCTTCAGTGATTAAGGACATGTGTGCAAAGTGGAATGAGTTGCAAACTTGTGTTGAAAAATATCACCCTGGCCAAGCTGAAACAAGTCATATCTGCAACATGTTCAGTGACAAAACCTTGTCCCACTTCAGGGAAATCTTAAAGAGATGTCAGAAACAGAGCACTCTTGACAGCTATTTTGTGCGACAGGGGTCCAGTGACTCTCAAGCTGGTCCTAGTGGCCATAAAAGACAAAGGGAAGTAACCCCAGATAAGGACTTGTTATCTAAAGTCTTTATGGAAGGGGATTACCCTTCCAAACAATAAGTTTTCCCTCTCTCCTCCTCCCTATCTTCCAGATGTCAGCAAGTCTCTTCAATAAAGGTAAATGTTATTTTAAATGTTTATTTAAATTTTAATTTATGTATTGTATAATATATATATGTATTTATCTATGGTGTATGTAAAACTATAGTTATTTTTTAAAAAATGAATGTTTTGTGAATATTTTTGTGGGTCTGGAACAGATTAATTGTATATACATTATTTCTTATGGGAAATATTGCTTCACCTTTCGGCCATTTCAAGTTTAGGCCTAGCTCCTGGAACACATTACAGCTAAAACTCGGGGTTCCACTGTATATACACTACAGTGGAACCTCGGTACTCGAACAGCTCTCCACTCAAACAATTCAATATTTGAACGCTTTGTTTGGTAAAAGAAAAGTCACTGCTGGGCACTCAACCAAACAAACATGACCTGTCAGAACTTCATTGTGAACTATTTTGTTTCTTAACATTTTTTGGCATTTTTTTTTATATTATTTGTACAAGTAAGTCACCATGGGGCTTACAAAGATTAGTGATAACAGACAACCAAAAACAAAATTGGTTGGGAAAAATTTGTTCAGCATTAACAGATCGCCACTCGAACAGCCTTCTGGAACAAATCAAGTTCAAGTACTGAGTTTCCACTTTATACCTTTGCTCCAGCTGTATTTCTTTTTTTTATAATATGTTGACCATTTTCCAATTAAGGTAAGGTGACCCAAAGAAGGAAATATACATATTCCCCATCATTCAATAGCTGTCTTGTCAGAAGTGCATGGACATCACAATTCACATGGCCCCTTGTACTGCCACATCCCTGCCCATCCTTCAGGGTGCTTGCACTGTACTTCCCACCTCATGGACTAAAGTCTGCTAACCTGTTTTGTGGTGGGAGAATGTCAAACCTCAAAAACATTCCTATCCACTCCACTCTTAACCCTTTCAGGGTCCAGAGGCCAAATTTCAAAGTGTGCACCAGTGTCCAAGAATTTTCAAAAAATAATTTTGTTATTTTTTCTTATAAAATGGTAGAGAATCTTTTTCTGATGGTAATAAAACAAAAAGTACGAAATTTGATGGAAAATTGACGAAATTATGCTCTCGTGAATTTTGATGTGTCAGTGATACGTATGCATCGGCGATTTTGCCGACTTCGACTTCCATTTTAGGCCAATTACATTATTCCAGTCGACCAAATTCTTAGCTATTTCATTAGTATTACTTCTATTCTATCGATTGAGCACAAGAATTCGCCAAGTCAACTGGTTCAACTACAAAATAAAGTGATCGGAAATTGGTAATTTGGCCAATTTAATGCAAAGTTCAAAATTTTCCAATTTCAAAAGTGTCCAGAATAAACAATGCAGGCATTCCTGGCACTAAACTAACATTTCCTCTGTTCATTAGTTACGTTTTCAGGCTTTACAAATGAATTCCATTTTGATTTTTTATTCACAATGAATTTTTATTCAAACCAAAAAATAGAAGATTTACTGTTATGCAATATTCTAATAATTGTATAAATAATATCACCACATTTGTCAACGTATATTAGACCCACCAGCAGGCATGTATTAGATGTGTGAGGTCATTTGTTTACTCTTGAACATCGGCAAAAATTTAACATTTCTGCTACTTTGAGCTCAGTTTCAAGCCATTTTCAGTACTAAAACCAATCAAAATCATCTCTACTTCTGTAATATATCTTCCATTCTATCAAATGAGACCAAGAAATCGCAAATACACCTATAAAAAACATACGAAAAAACACTGCAAAGTTGCTGTTTTAATCGAAAATTAGTCTGTTTTTCTCTCTCGTTATGCACTATGTGCTGCAGGATTTGTTTTATGTCCTGCACACATACCACATAGATGTATTCTCTCATACCTAGGCCAAAATTTATCGCTCACAGCTTATTAGAGCGAGTTGAGCTCATGACGTAGATCTACGGTTTGGACCCTCAACGTAAACCCGTAGATCTATGGCACGGACCCTCAAAGGGTTAATATGCCATTGTTTACACATGCCAACTGGATGCTGAAGCCTATACAAATTAAAACCTCTTCACTTATCCCTGCAACCCTTTCACAGATAACCCATACCCCTCCTTCCATCTACCCCAGATTTATGCTATCCCATTTTGCCTTATTTTTCATATGATCAGACCATCTCAACAACCCCTCTTTTAATTTCTATGCTCATTATTCTCTGCATAATATTGTATTTTTTTTTTTAACAAGTCGGCCATCTCCCACTGAGGCAGGGTGACCCAAAAAGAAAGAAAATTCCCAAAAACAAAATACTTTCATCATCATTCAACACTTTCACCTCACTCACACACAATCACCGTTTTTGCAGAGGTGCTCAGAAAACAACAGTTTAGAAGTATATATGTATAAAGATACACAACATATCCCTCCAAAACTGCCAACATCCTAAACCCTTCCTTTAAAGTGCAGGCATTGTACTTCCCATTTCCATGACTCAAGTCTGGTTATATAAAATAACCGGTTTCCCTGAATCCCTTCACTAAATATTACCCTGCTCACACTCCAACAGCTCGTCAGGTCCAAATACCATTCATCTCCATTCACTCCTATCTAACACGCTCACGCATGCTTCCTGGAAGTCCAAGCCCCTTGCCCACAAAACCACCTTTACCCCCTCCCTCCAACCTTTTCGAGGACGACCCCTACCCCACCTTCCTTCCCCTACAGATTTATACACTCTCCATGTTATTCTTTGATCCATTCTCTCTAAATGACCAAAGCACCTCAACAACCCCTCTTCAGCCCTCTGACTAATACTTTTATTAACTCCACACCTTCTCCTAATTTCCACACTCCGAATTTTCTGCATAATATTTACACCACACATTGCCCTTAGACAGGACATCTCCACCGCCTCCAACCGCCTCCTCGCTGCAGCATTTACAACCCAAGCTTCACACCCATATAAGTGTGTTTGTACTACTGTCATACATTCCTTTCTTTGCCTTCATAGATAACATTTTTTGTCTTCACATATACCTCAATGCACTACTCACCTTTTTTCCTTCATCAATTCTATGATTAACCTCATACTTCATAAATTCATCCGCTGACACGTCAACTCCCAAATATCTGAAAACATTCACTTCTTCCATACTCCTCCTCCCCAATTTGATATCCAATTTTTCTTTATCTAAATCATTTGACACCCTCATCACCTTACTCTTTTCTATGTTCACTTTCAACTTTCTACCTTTACACACATTCCCAAACTCATCCACTAACCTTTGCAATTTTTCTTTAGAATCTCCCATAAGCACAGTATCATCAGCAAAAAGTAACTGTCAATTCCCATTTTGAATTTGGTTCCCCAAAATTTAATCCCACCCCTCTCCTGAACACCCTAGCATTTACTTCCTTTACAACCCCATCTATAAATATATTAAACAACCATGGTGACATTACACATCCCTGTCTAAGACCTACTTTTACCAGGAAGTAGTCTCCCTCTCTTCTACACACCCTAACCTGAGCCTCACTATCCTCATAAAAACTCTTTACAGCATTTAATAACTTACCACCTATTCCATATACTTGCAACATCTGCCACATTGTTCCTCTATCCACTCTATCATATGCCTTTTCTAAATCCATAATTGCAATAAAAACTTCCCTACTTTTATCTAAATACTGCTCACATGTGTTTCAATGTAAATACCTGATCTACACATCCTCTACCCACTCTAAAACCACTTTTATTCATCCGCAATCTTACATTCTGTCTTATCTCTAATTCTTTCAATAATAACCCTACCGTACACTTTTCCTGGTATACTCAGTAAACTTATTCCTCTATAATTTTTACAATCTCTTTTGTCCCCCTTCCTTTATATAATGGGACTATACATGCTCTCTGCCAATCCTTAGGTACCTTCCCCTCTCTCATACATTTATTGAACAAAAATACCAACCACTCCAACACTACACTATATCCCCTCCTGCTTTTAACATTTCTGTCATTATCCTGTCAGTTCCAGCTGCTTTACCCCCCTTTCATTCTATGTAATGCCTCGCGCACCTTCCCCACACTTACATCTTGCTCTTCTTCACTCCTAAAAGATGGTATACCTCCCTGGCCAGTGCATGAAATTATCGCCTCACTTTCTTCGTCGACATTTAAAAGTTCCTCGAAGTATTCTCGCCATCTACCCAATACCTCCATCTCCCCATCTACTAACTCTCCTACTCTGTTTTTAACTGACAACTTCATTTGTTTCCTAGGCTTTCTTAACTTGTTTAACTCACTCCAAAATTTTTTCTTATTTTCATTAAAATTTCTTGACAGTGCCTCTCCCACTCTATCATCTGCTCTCCTTTTGCACACTCTCACCACTCTCTTCGCCTTTCTTTTACTCTCCATATACTCTACTCTTCTTCTCTTTTTTAGTAAATGTCTACAGGAGAAGGGGTTACTAGCCCATTGCTCCCGGCATTTTAGTTGTCTCATACGACACGCATGGCTTACGGAGGAAAGATTCTTTTCCACTTCCCCATAGACAATAGAAGAAATAAAGAAGAGCAAGAGCTATTTAGAAAAAGGAGAAAAACCTAGATGTATGTATATATATATATGCATGTGCGTGTCTGTGAAGTGTGACCAAAGTGTAAGTAGGAGCAGCAAGATATCCTTGTTATCTAGCGTGTTTGTGAGACAGAAAAAGAAACCAGCAATCCTACCATCATGCAGAACAGTTACAGGTTTCTGTTTCACAGTCATCTGGCAGGACAGTAGTACTTCCCTGGGTGGTTGCTGTCTACCAACCTACTACCTATATATATATATATATATATATATATATATATATATATTATATATATGTGTGTGTGTGTGTGTGTGTGTTTATATACTTTCACCTCCCTTGTACTTGTTGTTGCCATTTTCCTCTTGTCCCATCTACCTCTTACTCTAACTGTAGCTACAACTAGATAATGATCCGATATATCAGTTGCCCCTCTATAAACGTGTACATCCTGAATCCTACCCATCAACCTTTTATCCACCAAAACAATCTAACAAACTACTTTCATTACGTGCTACATCATACCTTGTATATTTATTTATCCTCTTTTTCAAAAAATATGTATTACTTATTACCAAACCTTTCTACACATAGCTCAATTAAAGGCTCCCCATTTTCATTTACCCCTGGCACCCCAAATTTACCTACTACTCCCTCCACAACATTTTTACCCACTTTAGCACTGAAATCCCCAACCACAAGTACTCTCACATTTGATTCAAAACTCCCCACGCATTCACTCAACATTTCCCCAAATCTCTCTCTCTCCTCTACACTTCTCTCTTCTCCAGGTGCATATATGCTTACTATAACCCACTTTTCACATCCAACTTTTATTTTACTCCACATAATCCTTGAATTTATACATTTATATTCCCTCTTTTCCTGCCATAGCTTACTGTTCAACATTACTGCTACTCCTTCTTTAGCTCTATTTGAAACCCCTGACCTAATCCCATTTATTCCTCTCCACTGAAACTCTCCCACCCCCTTCAGCTCTGTTTCACTTAAAGCCAAGACATCCAGCTTCTTCTCATTCATAACATCCACAATCATCTCTATCATTCACACAACATCCACGCACATTCAGAAATCCCACTTTGAAAATTTTCTTCTTATTCTTTTTAGTAATTACAGGAAAAGGGGTTACTAATCCATTGTTCCTGGCATTTTAGTTGACTTTTACAACACGCATGGCTTATGGAGGAAAGATTCTTATTCCACTTCTCCATGGATATAAAAGGAAAAGTAATAAGAAACAAGAACTATTAAGATAAAATCGAAGAAAACTCAGATGAGTGTGTATAGATAAACGTGTACATGTATGTGTAGTGTGACCTAAGTGTAAGTAGAAGCTTTTCCACAGTGCAACATTTTAATACCATGCTTCACACCTATGTTGCTACACATTCACCTTTTTTTTTGCCCCATTGATGAAAATTTTCCCACAGATGCCATAACACATCACTAATGTTCTTTTTTTCCACTGCCTATTCTAAGATTTGCTTCCTCCATATGCTCTCATTCCCTCAACTACATAAAGCTCACCATTCTGTTGATTCTAATAAATTCTTCAGGGGATGATGCCCAGGGTGGAAGCACAACATCGTCAACTACTCCTTCTTCCTCTGTTGCACCTAGTTTGTAGCGGTTCCAGTTGACAAACATCTCAGGAAGGTAGTAAAACTCTGGGATGAGTTCCTAGAAGAATAAATTAACTACTTAAGCACATCATGGAAATAGGATTTTTTTTTTTTTTAACACACCGGCTGTTTCCGACCGAGGCAGGGTGACCTGACAAAGAAGAAACAAAAGTTTTTTTTCCTTATACATTTAGTAATTTATACATGATAAGGGGTTACTAACCTATTGCTCCTGGGATTTTTGTGGCCTTTTACAAAATAGTAAATATATTGCAGAAAAAATTAAATTATGTACATCAATGATTCATGGCTAACTCTCCACTCTCAGATTTTTTCCGTCCTAATATGGATTATGCTAAATAGCAATCTTCTGTTTAATCAAACATGCCCTATTTCCAGCTACATGGACTAGAGACAACACACATTTCAATAAAATTATCTTACTTTAACATCTGAGGTATCTCGCTGACAGTTCTTCCAAGCAGTAGCAACAGAAGAGAACATTCTATTGGGGTGATCAAACTTGCCTCCTTGTAGTGATAGGAACATGGTGGTGAAGGGTTCCTGGGGAAGGGGGAGGGGGAGAAAAGCTTAGGTAATACAAAATAAAAAATAACATCTGCACACTTGTACTATCAAATTATTTCATAATTCACAATGCATCTTCATATTATGACAAAAATTCCCAGGTAAACTAAAATATATGATATTTATTACTTAATACAGTACCAGTGTAATAATAAACAGATGAAACTTTCAAGGATCACAACACTGTCATTATGATAAATGCAAGAAAAATGATAGGTTGGATAACAAGAACCCTAAAAATAAGAAATGATGATAATCTTAGTCACTTGATCTGTCTAGGCTACAATACTGCTATACTCTAGCAGCTCCCTTTCAATGCAGCACAACCTTCATTGCTCATACAGATTTAGTTAAGCAACCAAATTATTGGAAATGTTTCAAGTCTCTGTATCAGTACTCCTTGGAAAATGAGACACACACATCATAATTTACACCTGGAAAATTCTGGAGGAACTGGTTCCAAATCTGCACACATAGATATCACTCCCTATGAAAACAAAAGCTTGACAGATATTGCAAACATCCCCAGTGAAGTCCAAGAAGCAATGAGTACACTAAAAGACAACTCATTAAGAGTGGACAGATCAAGTCTCTTCAATGCCCTCTCTCTACACATGAGGATTACCAACAGACCTTTTGCTGTCTTCAAGAAAAAAGTTGACAAGTTTCTCTAGTCTGTTCCTAATCAGCAGCTTTGGTAATCAGACTATCTACTGGGAGGCTTGGTTTGGGACTGGGCAGTAGGTGCATTGAGCCCCAAAAACAGTCTAGAATATACTAACATTGCACAAAGTATATAAAATATTTGCCAAATATAAATTTGGAAGTTAGGCATTTAGTTCTTAACTAGATATTTTGCATCATGGTATGTAAACTCTGATCACTGTCCACCCCATAGGTTTATAATTCAGGGGGTTTGTAGGGATAGTAGTCACCCTGGACTAAGGAACTGAACATTTTTTTTCTAGGCATAGACTTTGATAATCCATTAGATGTTTGATATAATAATAATAATAATAATAATAATAATAATAATAATAATAATAATAATAATAATAATAATAATAGCTTTATTTCTACAAGTACATGTAAAAGGTGTACAGGCCTAGCTGACATCATTGACATAGTAATAATGTACTTTCTCCAAAGACATGTTTTAAAAATATGCAATCACAATTACTTGGACAAGAGAAACATTCATCAACTTACAAGCCTGATGAGCCAGTTGAGAGTGAACGCTGATGTGGAGTAGTGTGTGCCATAGTGGAAGGGTGGTATCTGATCATGTTCCCAAGAGTTGTAGCGCTCCTCAAAGAATGCCCGCCTCGAGGGATTGAGAGCCCCAATAGGCTATTAAAGGAAAATTTATAATGGTTTTAATACAAAAAACATCCATGTTATTTTACAGTATGCTTCCTAGAAGTAGAGCTAACACTGAGGCGTAATATAAAGGAGTCTTAATCATATTAATGTATTTAACAGTATTTTCAACTGTATTCATATTTTACCATAGACTTTTGCTTTAATCTCTAGACTTAACAATATTTACATAACACCTTGTATAAACATTAATATTTTTTAAGAACTACACAAAAATATATGGGAAAGAAAAGCATTAATATAATGGCCTGTACATTTTAGGACTCACTTGCCAGGGTTCAAGCCCCACCACTTCTGTGATTTATAACTTTCAACTGCATTACTGCAAGATTCAAATGGCATACTGCCCACAGTTTTAAAGGAAACACACACATTAGTTTAAGCTTTTACTGGGACAACATTTTGCTTTAACAGAGCAAAATATTGTACCAATAAAAACTCCTGTAATGTGTGTCTTTTCTACAAGGTATTATGACAAATTTAAGGAAACCTCAGCTATTATAATTTATAAATACTATACATATCCTTTTGGCTAACCTTAGACAAGTCTCTATAGTTGGACGGCTGGGAGAGGTCAAGTTCATGCGAGTCAAAGTTGGTTAGCACCCATGGAAACACTGGATACTGATTCAAGTCGTTGTATGTTCGACCTGAAATTTTTTTAAACAACAATCTTCATCGTAGTTAAGTTTACAGCATACCTATTTATTGGGTATGAGTTGTAATTGTTGAAGTGGGTAATGTAGAATAATTAAAAAGGGTCTGAAGATACATATGGGAAAGAACTCTAAAAATAACCAAGGAAAAAATTATTAAAATGGTATAAAATACCAACAGATTGTTAGGCAAGACACATATGCAACAGTTAGGTATCTTTATTTCGAAATGTTTCACCTACACAGTAGGCTTCTTCAGTTGAGTACAGATAAGTTGGTAGAAGCAGAAGAGATGTGAAGATGATGTAATCAGACTTCAAAGGTGATAGACTGATTACATCGTCTTCACATCTCTTCAGCTTCTACCAACTTTCTTTACTCGACTGAAGAAGCCTACTGTGTAGGCGAAACATTTCAAAATAAAGATACTTAACCGTTGCACGAGTGTCTTACCAAACAAAGAAAAAATTACAAAACCACATTTATGTTTCATAAAACATTCTAAATATCTATCAAGCTAGGATATTAACTGTGGAGTAAATAACAAGAATAAGTTGCTATAATATGATAATTCAGGGCAGTGTGAAACCTATAAAAAAAAAAAAAAAAAAAAAAAAAAAATTCCTGCTGTCATGGAGACCCTAAGTATTTAAAATACAGTGGACCCTCGGTTATTGACCGTAATCCATTCCAGAAGGTCGGCTTAAAACCGAAATGGCCTAAAACCGAAATATTATTTCCCATAAGAATTAATGTAAATACAATTAATCCGTTCTAGACACCCAAAAATATTAACAAAAATACATTTTTTAAAGATTAATTATAGTTTTACATACACAAAACAATGAGAACTAAAAATAAATAAATGAACATTTAAATTACTATTACATACCCTTACTGAAGACTGTTGGCTTATGGAAGACAGGAAGGAGAGTGAGAGGACTGATTATTATTATTGTTTGGAAGGGGGAATTCCCCTCCATAAGGACTTCAGGTATCAAAGCCCTCTCTGGGGTTACTTCCCTCCCTGCCTGCTACACTCCCTGCCTTCCTCCTACACCCTGCCTCCCTACTACACTCCCTGCCTGCCTGCTACACTCCCTTCCTCCATGCTACACTCCCTGCCTGCCTGCTACACTTCCTTCCACACACCCTGTTTCCCTGCTACACTCCCTGCCATAGTATATGTGTAAAGAACCTAGGATAACCCAAAAAAGTCAGTGACTTAGTTTCATTGGGGTCTTGCCTCCCTGCTGCACTCCCAACCTGCCTGTTACACTCCCTGCTAAGCTCCCTTTCACAACATTAGCTTCCTTGATATTTGGATGAATGAGCAGAAGTGTCCTCACTCTCCCAGAGACACAGCCATGCTGACTCTCGAACATGCGAGTGGCTGGAAGGCAGGCGGTTAAGATGTCCCATAGGGCCGATAAGTGATATAATGGCCCAAAAAACCGGCCGATAATCGAGGGTCCACTGTACATATATTATTAAAAGCAACATAAAATTCTAAAAATAACTATTTCTGTGTCATCCTCCTAATGTTTGCTGACAAATATTTTTTTTTTTTTTTTTTTAAAGTCGGCCGTCTCCCACCGAGGCAGGGTGACCCAAAAAAGAAAGAAAATCCCCAAAAAGAAAATACTTCCATCATCATTCAACACTTTCATCACACTCGCATATTATCACTGTTTTTGCAGAGGAGCTCAGAATACAACAGTTTAGAAGCATACACATATAAAGATACACAGCATATCCCTCCAAACTGCCAATATCCCAAACCCCTCCTTTAAAGTGCAGGCATTGTACTTCCCATTTCCAGGACTCAAGTCCGACTATATGAAAATAACCAGTTTCCCTGAAATCCCTTCACTAAATATTACCCTGCTCACACTCCAACAGATCGTCAGGTCCTGTACCATTCGTCTCCATTCACTCCTATCTAACACGCTCACGCACGCTTGCTGGAAGTCCAAGCCCCTTGCCCACAAAACCTCCTTTACCCCCTCTCTCCAACCCTTTCGAGGACGACCCCTACCCCGCCTTCCTTCCCCTATAGATTTATATGCTTTCCATGTCATTCTACTTTGATCTATTCTCTCTAAATGACCAAACCACCTCAACAACCCCTCTTCTGCCCTCTGACTAATACTTTTATTAACTCCACACCTTTTCCTAATTTCCACACTCCGAATTTTCTGCATAATATTTACACCACACATTGCCCTTAAACAGGACATCTCCACTGCCTCCAACCATCTCCTCGCTGCTGCATTTACCACCCAAGCTTCACACCCATATAAGAGTGTTGGTACTACTATACTTTCATACATTCCCTTCTTTGCCTCCATAGATAACGTTTTTTGACTCCACATATACCTCAACACACCACTCACCTTTTTTCCCTCATCAATTCTATGATTAACCTCATCCTTCATAAATCCATCCGCCGACACGTCAACTCCCAAGTACGTATCTGAAAACATTCACTTCTTCCATACTCCTCCTCCCCAATTTGATATCCAATTTTTCTTTATCTAAATCATTTGACACCCACATCACCTTACTCTTTTCTATGTTCACTTTCAACTTTCTACCTTTACACACATTCCCAAACTCATCCACTAACCTTTGCAATTTTTCTTTAGAATCTCCCATAAGCACAGTATCAGCAAAAAGTAACTGTCAATTCCCATTTTGAATTTGGTTCCCCAAAATTTAATCCCACCCCTCTCCTGAACACCCTAGCATTTACTTCCTTTACAACCCCATCTATAAATATATTAAACAACCATGGTGACATTACACATCCCTGTCTAAGACCTACTTTTACTGGGAAGTAGTCTCCCTCTCTTCTACACACCCTAACCTGAGCCTCACTATCCTCATAAAAACTCTTTACAGCATTTAATAACTTACCACCTATTCCATGTACTTGCAACATCTGCCACATTGTTCCTCTATCCACTCTATCATATGCCTTTTCTAAATCCATAAATGCAATAAAAACTTCCCTACCTTTATCTAAATACTGTTCACATATATGCTTCAATGTAAACACTTGATCTACACATCCCCTGCCCACTCTGAAACCTCCTTGCTCATCCGCAATCCTACATTCTGTCTTACCTCTAATTCTTTCAATTATAACCCTACCGTACACTTTTCCTGGTATACTCAGTAAACTTATTCCTCTATAATTTTTACAGTCTCTTTTGTCCCCTTTCCCTTTATATAAAGGGACTATACATGCTCTCCGCCAATCCCTAGGTACCTTCCCCTCTTTCATACATTTATTAAACAAAAGTACCAACCACTCCAACACTATATCCCCCCCTGCTTTTAACATTTCTGTCATGATCTCATCAGTTCCAGCTGCTTTAACCCCTTTTCATTTTACGTAATGCCTCACGTACCTCCCCCACACTTACATTCTGCTCTTCTTCACTCCTAAAAGATGGTATACCTCCCTGACCAGTGCATGAAATTACTGCCTCTGTTTCTTCCTTAACATTTAAAAGTTCCTCAAAATATTCTTGCCATCTACCTAATACCTCCATCTCCCCATCTACTAACTCCCCTACTCTGTTTTTAACTGACAAATCCATACTTTCCCTAGGCTTTCTTAACTTGTTTAACTCACTCCAAAATTTTTTCTTATTTTCATTAAAATTTCTTGACAGTGCCTCTCCCACTCTATCATCTGCTCTCCTTTTGCACTCTCTCACCACTCTCTTTACCTTTCTTTTACTCTCCATATACTCTGCTCTTCTTATAACACTTGTGCTTTGTAAAAACCTCTCATAAGCTATCTTTTTCTCTTTTATCACACCCTTTACTTTATCATTACACCAATCACTCCTCTTTCCTCCTGCCCCCACCCTCCTATAACCACAAACTTCTGCCCCACATTCTAATACTGCATTTTTAAAACTATTCCAACCCTCTTCAACCCGCCCACTACTCATCTTTGCACTAGCCCACCTTTCTGCCAATAGTCGCTTATATCTCACCCGAACTTCCTCCTCCCTTAGTTTATACACTTTCACCTCCCTCTTACTTGTTGTTGCCACCTTCCTCTTTTCCCATCTACCTCTTACTCTAACTGAAGCTACAACTAAATAATGATCCGATATATCAGTTGCCCCTCTATAAACAAGTACATCCTGGAGCCTACCCATCAACCTTTTATCCACCAATACATAAACTAATAAACTACTTTCATTACGTGCTACATCATACCTTGTATATTTATTTATCCTCTTTTTCATAAAATATGTATTACTTATTACCAAATCTCTTTCTACACATAGCTCAATTAAAGGCTCCCCATTTACATTTACCCCTGGCACCCCAAATTTACCTACTACTCCCTCCATAACATTTTTACCCACTTTAGCATTGAAATCCCCAACCACCATTACTCTCACACTTGATTCAAAACTCCCCACGCATTCACTCAACATTTCCCAAAATCTCTCTCTCTCCTCTACACTTCTCTCTTCTCCAGGTGCATACACACTTATTATAACCCACTTTTCACATCCAATCTTTATTTTACTCCACATAATCCTTGAATTAATACATTTATAGTCCCTCTTTTCCTGCCATAGCTTATCTTTCAACATTATTGCTACTCCTTCTTTAGCTCTAACTCTATTTGAAACCCCTGACCTAATCCCATTTATTCCTCTCCACTGAAACTCTCCCACCCCCTTCAGCTTTGTTTCACTTAAAGCCAGGACATCCAGCTTCTTCTCATTCATAACATCCACAATCATCTCTTTCTTATCATCTGCACAACATCCACGCACATTCAGACTTCCCACTTTGACAATTTTCTTCTTCTTATTCTTTTTAGTAATCTTTACAGGAAAAGGGGTTACTAGCCCATTGTTCCCGGCATTTTAGTTGACTTTTACAACACGCATGGCTTACTGAGGAAAGATTCTTATTCCACTTCCCCATGGATATAAAAGGAAAAGTAATAATACCAAGAACTATTAAGATAAAATCAAAGAAAACTCAGATGAGTGTGTATAAATGAATGTGTACATGTATGTGTAGTGTGACCTAAGTGTAAGTAGAAGTAGCAAGACATACCTGTAATCTTGCATATTTATGAGACAGACAAAAGACATCAGCAATCCTACCATCATGTAAAGCAATCACAGGCTTTCGTTTTACACTCACTTGGCAGGACGGTAGTACCTCCCTGGGTGGTTGCTGTCTACTAACCTACTACCTACTAAAAATATGTATATGTATATGTATATTCAGATATACCAGCACACAAAAGGATACAGTACGTATACATCCGAGCTTTTTCTCTCTCGCTGTATATACAAAAGAACCTCCCATAACAAAAGGGTTATGTGACCGATATCAGCATTTTATATAATTTCGTGGTATGCATTTTATGCAGCTTCATGGCGGTACATAATGTGAATTATACATGAAAAAATTAAAGTTAGATTCATATAGGGATGGGATGGCAAATTTTTGCCAATACTCAGTTTTAGATCAATACTAATACTACCATCATAATTAGCTGATACTAACTTATTAGTACCAATATCTTAGTTTACAGCTAAAATTGGCTGATACTCACTGATAATGATACTAACTTTAGACTGGTGCCAATATTGATATGAAAATCTGCCAATACCCACACATACCAATTCCGATACTCTGGCACATGCATAAGTCATGACACCTCCAAGAAAGTGAAATTACATTAAAATTTTTAATTCGTCAAATAAGTTTGTTCAGGCACAGGTACACATAGAAACAATTATTTTACATGGTGTAAATTACCTAGGATAATCCAAAAAAAAAAAAGTCAAAGTGACTCATTTTCATTGAGGTCGTTCAGTGAGGTCCAGGTACATATTGTAGATGTTGCTAGTTGATCTAGAAATTTATATTACATACCCAAAACATAAATAAAAACTTAGTATAAATAGAATTATTTAAGACCCAGAGGGAAAACTGATGTCTGAAGGATAATATTCCACTACTTATAAATTTAAAAGAAAAAGTATTTGCTCAGATTATTAGCCTGTAGGGTAGCCCAATCAAGTCAGGTTAGCACTGAGGCCCTTTAACCCTATCCACATCAGTACCTACTTATTGCTAGTTGAAGAGAAGTAGGTGTAAATTTATTTAGGTACAGGTACACACAGGTACATTAATTATCATACATAGTGTAAATTAACTAGCATAACCCAAAAGTCAGACAGAATGACTTATTTCAATTGGGGATCTTGTAATATCATATTATTTAAACCTTTAAAAGTTAAAACAACTGAGTAACCCAATGCTTCTACTCATGCCGGGGAGTGAATTCCAGTTCCTCAGTATGCGAGGTAAGGCAGCTACCAGTCAAGCCATGAAAAACCTTAACACACACACTCATCAGTTAAAAATATGCTAAACAAAAAAAAAAAAAAAAACAAAAAAAAAAAAAAAACTTTAGCTTAAATTCTTTATTACTTCTGCTTGTTGATACTCAAATGTTTTGACCTCAATGGAAACGAGCCATTTTGTCTGACTTTTCTGGGTCATCCTTGGTACTATTTATACATATGATATGTATAATTGTATTTAAGTATACCTGTACCTAAATTAACTTTGTGTAGTAGCTCAAGTGAGCAGCACATGTCTATGGGGTCGTGTTTCACTGCTGACACCTCTCATATATTTCAAGATGCATTATTTTTGTTAATAATAATGACAAGGAAGATTTTTACCCTACCTTGAAATTCTTACTTGTTGATAAAGATGGTTATGTGACTAGTGAGAGGTAGTCGGCTGTTAACTGTCTGCTTACATGTTGTCTTGAGGGTTTAAGAGACTACAACACTGGCCGGTCCTACTGAGTCAAGTACTTGACCCACACTCCAGAAATTTCTTAAAAGTTTTCCATGCCTGAGAAACCCTTTTAAAAAAATTCCAGGGCGAACATTCATTCAAAACCGCGTACTAATATATTTTTTTAGAGGAATATGAATAACGTTCTATGTAAAAACATGCTACAAAGACCCACGTTATGAAATGGTTTGCTGTATAGTTTACTTTAATCCCAATTTTAAGGATTAAAGTACTTTTGATGATGGCATGCAGCCATGCTAAATACTGTACAGTACTAGATAAATTCTCATTCAGTAATATATTAATTTACGCAAAGAATCGTGTATTACAGAAAAAGAAATTACTATTAAAATATAAACATTACTACTAGACACTTAAGAAATGCTTAACCAAAAATACAATATATTTATATAAGTAAACACAAACAAATATAATTAAACAATATAATTTTAATTTCTTTAATGTAGATTAACATGCCTTTAATTAAGTTACATTTCCTAAAGAGACTAATTAATGTTATTAAACATTAATAATTTGTGTCCGCGAGCAGGATTCAAGTTGTTCCATAATTATAACAAGGAGAATACGTTGACATGTTGTATTTCAGCATTTATAAACGTTAGAAAAAGAATACTGGCGCAATCTCTCGCCCCCCACCACAATGATGGTGAAAACCAACATTGAACCCAGGAAGATTAAGAAACCTGCCCAATATCAGAGGTAGCGCCAAGAAGGAAGGGGGGACTGAAGTTCCCCAAAATTTCGTAAGCCCCCCGTCCCCCCCCCCAAAAAAAAAAAAAAAAAAATACGGTGCTTCCAGACACGTCGCCTGGTTTCCTGTTCCAACCAAACTGCCACCTCTAGGCCCCTCCTAAACAACAATTTTAGAGCCGCCCCTGCCACAATTGGTAACTGTCCAGTACAGTAATCACTCACCGGCAATGGTGTTGAGGAACATGAGATACTCGAAGTTGGAGATCTCCCTGCGCTGCCATTTCTGCGTCATGTTTGAAGCCCTGAAGAGCTGCCGTGGGGACATCATGGAGGCTCGGCGGGTTTGTGGTATACCATACTTAATACCCACCCCGACCCGCGGTAGGGCTTTCGCCACTCTTTTAACCGTTGCCTGGTCCGGGAACGTGAAAAACACTGATGCTGCGGGAGACAAGATTATGTATCTCAAAATTATACAAAGTACAACTCTGCAAGGGACTCGTGTTGCTTACAGGTGCTAGTATTTATTAATCTCTTAGTTTGGCTATGGTTATTTGTGGTATATTTATGATATTTTGTGGTGAAAAGCATGGTTGTTATAACACAGCCGTCTCTGTTTCTGCAATGAGGTCGATTAATTTACAGTATCAAAAACAAGTTACAATAAAATTCATTTATTTTTTGAAGCAAAACAGTATTTGTGCATGACACAACATAATCAATTACATCTATAACAAGGCAGAGTAATACTCGTGCATGCAGCTTATCATTCCATTTATCCACCTGCACTAACCTATGTGGTTTCATAGTTGAAAATTGCAAAGTAGGCCAAGGCAAACAAAATATGCAGAGGTACGCAGCAGCATTGTGCAGTACTTTTATTATTATTGTTGTTATTCTTATTATTAGTTATACTTTATTATCTTGTTATCAGAAGAAAAACTTTGTAGAAGAGCGCGAACTTTTGAGGATGTCTGTTGGAGGGTACCAAGAATGAATGCAAATAAGGGCCATGTTTTTGTGCTTTAGGATGAAAGACCACTAGCGTAATGTGGGAAGAGAAAGGAGGAAAGTAATGAATGAATTCAGACATCTAGGAGTGGTGCTATATCACGATGGCAGTTAAACATAAGCTGACAGTAGAATAGTGGATTTCGCAAGTGGGAGATGCCTTGAGGACCTTGGAAGAGCGGGAGGTACCTTGAAACGGGAGAGGTACCTTGATGACCCCGGAAGAATGGGAAGTACCTCAAAGACTCCGAAGAGTGGGGTACCTATGGCACTTTGAGGAATGGTATAAAGTTTATACAAAGGAGAACTAACCTTAATATCCACAAACGAGTGAAAATCTCCAAGAGTAATTGGATTTCGACAGCAAAAGCTAATAAGGGTAGAGATGAATAATTCGCAGTTTAATTGATATTTAAAAATTATGGAAGATTCAAGAATGAAGATGAACGAAGATTCTGTGCAGTAAGTAGCTACCGGCAATATAATCTACCGAGATGGTATACCCAAGTGGAACTATCGAGAGACAACGGGAAGGGAAGTATTTTAAGTGACTGGTATGAAGAGCATAGGAGAGGCAGACTAAAGAGGTATGGGCAGGTGCAATGAGCAGACAGGAGTGTTATATAAGAGATCACCAGAAGAATAATTAAGGGTGGTGGGAACGTCTTATGGGAGACAATGGAGACACGTCACTAAAGCGATGTGGTGAGTGCAAGAGTGAGGAAGCGTTCTAGCAGCGTGTTAGAAGTTGTTCACGCCAACTCACTGTATGTAAGCTGAGGATACAAATGAGAAGGTTGAGGGGCTGCTCTGTGTTTGGTCCACCCCATGTCTATGGAAAGGTAGGTACAGATAATACTTCTGTTATATTTATCATTAATGTAAGCTATTATTTTAATAATTTTTGATCAATTTCGCACATGGGTTGAATATAATTAAGTTGTTTTGCTTCACTAAAAATGAACGAAAATGAAGCTTAGGGAATAGACAACCCGCTAACATAATTCTGATAGCAGCGATTAGACATCACTAATACTGCTTTTACAAACACAAGAATAAAGCACATCATTATTTATAGTAAATGGGAGTAACTTAGTATACACATTTCCTGACAAAACAATCATTCGTATGCCCAAATTAATCAATAGCAGATATACTCTTCTGTAGAAAAAACAAGGTTTAAATATAACTAATTTATGAACACTGCATCAAAACTTTAATCTTTGACGCTAAGCTTGTCAATGTACCTGCAGTGACAAATGACACTCGAGTGCTTACACTTCTTAGTTGACTCACGAAACCGTAATGACACGATTGCAAACAAACCATACCACGGGCGGGGATAGAACCCGCGATCAGAGAGTCTCAAAACTCCAGACCGTCGCGTTAGCCAATGGACCAGCTAGCCACAATAATCTTATTGTGGCTAGCTGGTCCAGTGGCTAACGCGACGGTCTGGAGTTTTGAGACTCTCTGATCGCGGGTTCTATCCCCACCCGTGGTATGGTTTACTTCTTAGATGTGACCACAGACGTGGCCAGATATAGAACTGTGTTCTATATCTGGCCTAATATTTACATATTCGTTGAGATTTGTGGCACGTTCACGCTTACTGGCATGTTCAAACGTCACCTTTCCTTCACCGGCTCATTTTCTTTACACCTTTCATTAAATTGTTGAAATCACTCCCTCACCGGTGTATTTTCTCTTTATCCTTAAATGACGTATTTAATTAAGTGTCCCTGACTGGCGTGTTTGTCCTTTTCATCTTTCACCGACTTACTAGTCTTCCTCTCTCTGCGTCTCTGAGGCATATATATCTTACTGAGGTAACCAAGATGACAACTGAATTACAGAATATTGCCAATGTCATCAATATATGACAGATGAGACGCTGACGATCACTACCACCCGCTGCTGAGCATAAAAGAACACGCAGCCCGAGAACATACAGGGAGGGTTACACTCGCTCCTTTATAACATACAGTATCCCTGGAATTAACTCACTCCTTTATAACATACAGTATCCCTGGAATTAACTCGCTCCTTTATAACATACAGTATCCCTTGAATTAACTCGCTCCTTTATAACATACATTATCCCTGGAATTAACTCGCTCCTTTATAACATTCCATATCCCTGAAATTAACTCGCTCTTGTATAACATACAGTTTCCCTGGAATTAACTCGCTCCTTTATAACATACAATATCCCTGGAATTAACTCGCTCCTGCATAACATACAGCATCCCTGGAATTAACTCGCTCCTTTATAACATACAGTATTCCAGGAATTAACTCGCTCCTGCATAACATACAGTATACCTGGAAATAACTCACTCCTGTATAACATACCGTATCCCTGGAATAATAATAACACATACACAAAACATAATAGAACATACAAAACACAAGAACACTAAAACACACAAAACGCGAGAACAAAGAGGTGAAGAACTTACTGCGGGAGGCGAGGAAGATCTCCAGTGCAGTGTTCTGGAGGAGGTAGCGACGGTTGAAGATTGCGCGGACCTCACTGAAGTGCCACTTGCCGTGTACATGTTCACAGTACTTCACTACCTGCAACAGACAATACACACACACAATCAGGAACTTTATTAATTTTATGAATATACGAATAACAAACACGTTACGGGAAAAGTTATATATATATATATATATATATATATATATATATATATATATATATATATATATATATATATATATATATATATATATATATATATGTCGTGCCGAATAGGCAGAACTTGCCATCTTGGCTTAAATAGCAACGCTCATCTTGCCATATAGGACAAGTGAAAATTTGTGTATGCAATAATTTCGCCAAAATCATTCTGAACCTAACGAAAAAAAATATATTTCACTGTGTTTGTTTAGTATTAAATTATTGTAAACAAATCTAAAATATATTTAGTTGGGTTAGGCTAAAATAAATTGTTCTTGTAATAAGGTTAGGTAAGTTTTCTAAGTTCCTTTTGGTGCAAAATTATAATTTTTTACATCAACATTAATGAAAAAAATATATCTTTAAATGTACAAGAGAAAATTTTAGAAAGGACTTAATTTTAAATGCGTTCTTGCTAATTGACCAGTTATATATATATATATATATATATATATATATATATATATATATATATATATATATATATATATATATATATATATATATATATATATATATACACACACCAAAAATCATAAATTTGTGTTTTCCTGGTTTATATATATATATATATATATATATATATATATATATATATATATATATATATATATATATATATATATATGTATGTATATATATATATATATATATAAAACACTGCGCTAGCCAAGGATTCGAACCCATGTTGTACTGGCCTGCCTCATGGTAAGCGAGAACCACATACGCTTTTAACCACAGGACCACCCAACCCTACAAGAATGGAGCAGCCAGCAGAGCTAGCTGTGGGCCGCCATCAGAGGGCATACGGAGATGTGGGAGCTTCTAAGTTAATTTCATTCTCATCCCTGTTTGGTGTACTAGGGTGTAGGGTTGGGTGGTCCTGTGGTTTAACGCGTCATGTGGTTCTTGCTTACCAAGAGGCAAGCCAGTACAACATGAGTTCGAATCCTTGGCTAGCGCAGTGTTGTTATTGATCAATACCACTCGTCCGTGGTTTAATATATATATATATATATATATATATATATATATATATATATATATATACATACATCCGACTTATTTATTGACGCTTTGGATGCTTTCTCATCCATCATCAGAATCTAAAACGGTTTTACTAGTAAAAATTCTAATTACAACCAATAAAGTAATCAAATTAAAATAATATAGCCTATATAACATTGATTCGCAGAGGAACTGTATTTACGTATCTTAATATGCAACTAACATATATAAAATAAGACTATACCTTTATATACAAATCGAATATTACAAGATTAGATGGATACAAACTTCGTTGTAAGAGGTTCTCAGGGTGAACATAATTCCGAATACATGACCTGAGGCGCACGAGTGAATAGCAAATGCGAGACTGACAAATTTTAGGATAGCTTTCAGGAACCTCAACAAGGAGTCATTCACGCCGCTACATGAAGCTTATGTTAGGCTTATTTTGAAGTATGCAGCACCAGTATGGAACCCGTATCTGGTAAAAAATATCAACAAGCTGAAAAATGTGCAAAGAATAAAAAGGCACAATGCCGCGACTGGAACAATACACAAATAACCCACTCGTGACTTGACCTGATCTTTATCTCTTCTCCTTTCCTATATTTTCTTTGCCTTTCCTGTCTTCTGCTTAGGTGGGCTCTGTCTTATAGAGTTTTGTCCCGCTGATATTTGGTCCCACCCTCATGAGCCATTACTCTCCTGCAGTGCTCCTCTTTTCTCTTTCACTACCTCCACTATTACTTGTACTACTACTACTACTGTTTCTTCACTGAGTCTCCACCCTCTGACCCTTTTTTCATTACCATTACTACCTTCTTATTGCTACATCACTGCTGCACTGCTTTTTCTACTACTACTACTACTACTACTACTACTACTACTACTACCACTATTATTACTGTCACTTTAATACTATTTCCTCCTCTCGTTACACTCCAATCCCCCGGCCCTTTTCGTATATATTCTGGCTCCCTTCCCTTTGCGCTTGTGTGTGACTAGTTAACGGTCAAAGAATCGAAACGCCGTCATAAGCTTCAGTCTCCTATGTAACGAGACTAATCCCAGAGCTAAGGTGTACGAGCTACGAGGAGAAACTGAAGGAGATAAACCAGATGACATTAGAGAACAGAAGGACCAGAGGTAGAACGATTACGACGTACAAAATGCTGAGAGGGAATGACAGGGTGGACAGGGCAAGGCTGTCTATAAGGCGGGTCTCGGGTACACGAAAGCCTAGCTTTAAATTAAAAACACAGATGAGTCACAGGGATGTTTGTAAATACTTCTTTAGCCTTAGAATAGTAAGAAACGGAACACTGTAGACAACGAAGCCGCAGGATCCATACATAATTTTACGAATAGGTATGACAGAGGTTCACGCAGCCAGGAGGGGGAAAACTCGTTAGCTGCCAGTGGAAAGGCGTAGCCAGAAACTGGGACTCTAGAAAAGTCTAGTTAAACATATCTACGGAGAAAGTAATAGGGTCAGTAGATTGCAAGATGTTATTGCTACACTAAGGCTAGGCTGTAATTATCTCTGGCAGTACGATTTGTATGGAAATGACAATAACAAAATGTATGAACAGAGACTGTCATACACTAGAGCATTATATCCAAACATCTAACCTTTCAGAGCCACCTCAATGCAAACATTACAGGATATGACAAAGCACCTCATTATTTATGATAAAAATTTTGAGATCTTGAGGCTATATCCACATTTTGCATCGATTGTATGAATACACTGTCTTGAGGGAGGAGATTGCAGCCCAATTATGACCATAGTACTTTACTGGTAACAAGATAATTTTTTATTGTATTCCAAATTGTAATGTGTACATTAACTATATGAAGTGATTGTAAAATATAAAATGACTAATATATCCTAGAGATGTAACAATGTTCACTGGGGCCTGACAAAGACCCACTGTGAACTCTCTAATCCTGATTTTTGGGCTACCGCTCACAGGATGAGCTGTGGGTGTACAATGATCTAACTTCATAGGTGGTACAACTAAAAAAAATGCAACCAAAAATAGTTGAGTAAATGTACACACACACACACACACACACACACACACACACACACACACACACACCACACACACACACGCACGCACGCACAAGAGATTAGTGCAAAAGCTGGAGGACCAGGCAGGGATAACAGGGAAGGCACTGCAATGAATCTGGGAATACCTGTCGGGAAAGCAACAGCGAGTCATGGTACGTGACGAAGTGTCAGAGTGGGCGCCTGTGACGAGCGGGGTTCCACTGGGGTCAGTCCTAGAACTGGTGTTGTTTCTGATATATGTGAACGACATGACGAAGGAATAGACTAAGAAATGTTCCTTTTTGCAGATGTGAAGCTGATGAGAAGAATTCAGTCGGACGAGGACCAAGAAGAGCTACAAAGGTATCCGGACAGGCTGCAGGCCTGGTTCAGAAACTGGCTCCTGGGGTTCAACCCCACCAAGTGCAAAGTCATGAAGATTGGGGAAGGGCAAAGAAGACCCCAGACGGAGTACATTTTAGGGGGCCAGAGACTACAAACCTCACTCAAGGAAAATGATCTTGGGGTGAGTATAACACCAGGCACATCTCCTGAGGCGCACATCAACCAAACAACTGCTGCAGCATACAGGCACCTGGCAAACCTAAGAACAGCATTCCGACATCTCAATAAGGAATCGTTCAAGACCCTGTACACAGTGTACGTTAGGCCTATATTGGAGTATGCAGCACCAGTTTGGAACGCACACTTAGTGAAGCACGTAGGGACATATAACATACTAAGAGGAATCGACAATGTGGACAGAGACAGGATGTTCCAGAGATGGGACACAGCAACAAGGGGTCACAGTTGGAAGTTGAAGACTCAGATGAATCACAGGGATGTTAGAAAGTATTTCTTCAGTCACAGAGTTGTCAGGAAGTGGAATAGTTTCGGAAGCGATGTAGTGGAGGTAGGATTCATACATATCTCTAAGAAAAGGTATGATAAAGCTCATGGAGCAGGAAGAGTGATCTAGTAGCGGCCAGTGAAGAAGCGGGGCCAGGAGATGTGAATCGACCCCTGCAATCACAACTAGGTGAATACACACACACAAGGAAGTCACATCATTCTCAAAATTTCGTCTGGCCACAATAAAAGGATGTCATCCACATTATTTTAACCAAGCGTGATCAGCACTTGCCAGTGTCTCACACGCGTGCATTTTACACGCTGGGAAGAGTTGGCAAGATTAATACAGACAGAAAAAGCTGACCTGTACTGTTGGCTGGTGGTGGTGGGGTGGAAGTGAGGGAGATCCTGGAGGGAGTCATGCACCAGGGAACAATCTACATACAATTATGAAGATGGAGTGAATATGATGTAGGGGAAGATGAACATGATGGAGTTAACATGACGTAGATGTGACCAGCTGGCAAGGGGAAAGTGCGTTGAAAGAGGGAAAGGAAGCTTTGGATGAAATATCTGTTAGGGGTTAAAGGGGATTTGACGTGTTGGGGAGAGGATAAAGGGTGGTGAAGGTGGAAGAGAGGTTAAAGAGGACGAAATGACGCTAGGAGTAAGACAGAATGAGTTATAGGCATGGACAAAGAGAAGGAAAACTGTGGAAGGAGATAGAAATGGGGAGGTGTGAGAGAAAGAGATAAGGGGAAGAGGAAGATGAGACAGGGGGAAAGAGTGGGAAAGGAAAGACAGAGGAGGGAAGGATGTGATATGGAAAGGAGAGGAATTAAAAAAAAAAGGAGGGGAGGGGATAGAGGAAGAGGAGATACGGAAAGAGAAAGGAGAACGATGGGAAGGGTCAAGTACTCGTCCACTTGCAGTTAAAGTGCAGTTAAAGATGGTAACACTCTTCAAATCGCTAGT